GATCGAGGAAACAAATTTTATTGACCCATTTAGAATTTTTCATTCTACTTATAAAAGATATGCATGGCAGGAGAAAAACCCTATAAAACAAGCTAGATTGGACTTCTTCCTCACATCAGAAAATATTTTAAACTATATTGAGAAGGTTAATATTTTTGTTGGTTACAGATCAGACCATTCTATAATATCACTAGAAATTAAATTAAATAACTTTGTGAAAGGGAGGGGCCTATGGAAATGTAATAACAGTCCTTTATATGATCAAGAATATGTGCAATATATTAAAGATACCATATATAAGATCAAACAGCAATATTCATCACCAATTTACGATAAAGATATCTGTAATATAACTGATGAAGAACTAATATTATGTATAGATGAACAACTTTTTTTAGAAACATTATTAATTGAAATCAGGGGAACAACTATATCGTATTCATCAAAAAAGAACGGGACAAAAGGGAAAAAATACTAATATCTGATCTAGGAAAATTAGAAGAAAATAATACATGGGCTACTAATTCAGATGAATACGAACAGAAAACAAACGAGCTAGAGAATATTAGAAAAATAAAAATGAAAGGGCATATGATAGATCAAAAGTAACTTGGCTGGAAGAAGGGGAAAAACCATCAAAATATTTTTGCAACTTAGAAACACACAATTATGTTAATAAAACTATTGTTAAAGTTGAAAAAGAAAATGGGGAAATCATAACTAGTCAAGATGAAATTCTTAGGGAAATACAAAACTTTTACAAACAATTATATGCTGACCATTCAGATAATATTGAAGATGTTAATTTAGACAGCCTTTTAGATGGTTTAGAATATGTTAAATTAACAGTCAATCAACGTGTAAATTTAGAAGGCGAATTATCAGAAACAGAATTACTCTTTGCATTAAAAAATATAAAAAAAACTGTAAATCACCTGGTTCTGAAGATTTTACTAGTGAATAAAAAAATAAAAAAAATGGAATAATTTAAAATATTTTATTATCAGAGCATTGAATTTTGGTTATAATAAGGGGAAGCTATCCATTACACAAAGACAGAGTATTATCACCTGTATTCCCAAAGGAGATAAAGTTAGACATTTTATTAAAAAATGGAGGCCGATTACTTTATTAAATGTTATATATAAACTTGCTTCAGCTTGTATAGCCAACAGACTAAAAACAGGTTTTTTAAGTGGAGGATATATTGGGGAAAACACCAGACTTAATTACGACATTATGAATTTTACTGAATTAAACAATATACCAGGCCTTTTAATATTTATAGATTTCGAAAAAGCCTTTGATTCAGTTTCATGGATTTTTTTATACAAAGTAGTTGATTTTTTTCATTTTGGTAAAAGCATTAAAAAATGGATAAAAACATTATACAAAAATACCTACTCTGCAATAAGCCAAAATTGTATACTTTCAATTTTTGTTTTTATATACAAAGGGGTTGTCGACAAGGGGATCCTGTCTCCCCATATCTATTTTTACTTGTAGTTGAAATATTGGTTATTCTTATAAAAAAAAACAATAGAAATATCAAGGGCATTACAACAGAAAGATCATAAGCTCTCACAGTTTGCAGATGATACCTCAATAATTTTAGATGGATCTAGAAACTCATTCAACGAAGCACTGAATGTTTTGGATTACTTTGGCAAAATATCGGGACTAAAAGTAAATAATGATAAAACAAAGGTGATTTGGATTGGCAGCAAGAAATTAAGTGCAGACGTTTACCATCATAGAATGAAACTGAAATGGGGAGAAACAAAATTTTATATGCTAGGGGTTTATTTTTCAGTTAATCTAGATATGGTTGTTACTTTGAATTATACCACAGTTCTTAAAAATGTTAATAAAAGTATAAACCAGTGGTCACGCAGAATTTTAACACCTCTTGGTCGGATAGTTGTATTAAAATCAATCATTATACCAAAATTTAATCATCTATTCATATCTGTTCCTACACCCGACAATAATTTTATTCAACAGTTGAACACTACTTTTTTCAATTTTATTTGGCAATCACCAGTCGACAAAATTAAAAGAGACACTATAGTCCAAAGCTATGAAAATGGGGGTCTGAAAATGATTAATATCAGGAATTTTATAACAAGCCTTAAGTCTACATGGATAAGAAGATTACTTAAGAATAATGATAAATGTTGGACAAATATTTTTGAAGCAGAACATTTTCCCACCATCAACATATCAGATTTTGGTACTGACTTCATTAAAAAATTTAAGACCAAAAATGCCGTCTGGAAAAATGTTTTTCAGGCATGGGTAGATATTTCAGAAGAAACACAAATGCAAATTAAAAATATTGAGCAGTTTCTTACTTTTCCTATATGGTATAATCCAATTTTCTGCATTGATAACAGGTCTTTTTTCATTAAAACATGGTTTGAGAAGGGTGTTAAAAATGTGTGTGACCTACTGGACCAAGATAATTCTTTTCTAACCTTTGCAAACTTTAAACTAAAATTCAATATCGATTCAGAAAACTTCTTAATTTATCAAAGTATATGCCAATCAATTAAGCAAAGATATAGAGAATTTAACTTTAATTTAACTGCTGAAAACATTGTTGAAAGACCATTTATACCACACCATATCAATGTAATTATGAAAAGCAAGAAAGGTTGTAAAGACATGTATGTTACCCTAAATAATAAAAATAAATGTGCGAATACAGCTGAAATAAAATGGAAATCGAAAGAAAGTTTTAGAAACATAGACTGGAAATGATTGTATAGCATTCCTTTTAAAAGTACAACGGATACAACACTACAGTGGTTCCAGTATCAGTTACAAAATCGCATTCTCCCATTAAATAATTACTTGAACAATAACCTTTGTAGTATGTTTAACACAGAAATTGAAACTATAGAACATATTTTCTGAGAATGTCCTCATTCTTTTAGACTTTGGCAAGATTTGAAAAACCAAATATAACACAACTTAGATGAATTAATTGATTGTAGATTAGAAACAGTATTATTTGGAGAGACAGAAAATGTTGCCTTACCAATTAACTGTATTACACTGTATCAAGAAAAAAACAAAGACTCAGGTTAGGTGGTTTGATTGAGTTTCTAGCATTCCGATATAACATGGACAAAAATTCAGCCTCAAAACATTTACGCAACAAAAAATTTGATCAAATATTGTTTGAATGGAAAGATATTTTTTAACAGATTGAAAAAACAAGTTTACACAATCCATACATCTTTGTATCTTTGTTTATATAATTGATACTCTTTCTCTTGAAATGAATATTCAAATTTCATCTTGATTTTGTAATCTGATAAAAATAAAACTGCATATATCCGGTGTGTTATGGTGTGAGTGGGTGTATGTGCTGTTTTTTGTTTGTTTTGTTTTATAATTACCCGTTTAGCGGACATAAAAACCTGTATGAAAACCGGTTTTAAAATGCTATTTGAAAATTGATGTCAGTATATGTCCATATCAATGTGAATGACCACATGCATGTGTCATAGAAATATTCATACACATGTGTATATATATATATGTACATCTGACACTGTTTGCACAGTGTATTTATTATTGTTTCTTAACTACTTGAAATTATGCGTGCATAATGATGCATTTGATTCAATGTATGCAAGTATGTCTCAATGTATACATGTATGTATATACTGTCTGTCTGTCTGTGAGTCTGTCTGTGTGTCTGTGTGTCTGTCTGTCTCATGTATATATGTATGTGTGTATGAGTATATATGTCGGGTGTATTTGTATGTGTATTATGTTTTTGGTGTATACTTGCTATATGTTTATCCTTGTTTGTAATATTATGTTGTATATGGAATTTGTTAGGGTGTGAAAGAAGTATGTTTTGTGTTCTTGTCCTGTACTCTATTTGCAAATATTTTATTTTCCCATTGCCCTTCCTATTTATTTATTTATTGTTTGACTGATGGATGTTTAATAAGAACCCTCCTGCGTGAGGACACCATATTGTTCAGGGGCTGACTTCAGGGCTCCCCAACCCTGGCATCCCCTATCAAAATATTTATATATGTATATATATATCTGCTTCGAAGCAGTATATGTATAAACACATTTATGAAAAAATGGCTGGGTGAATAAAATATTTGTAAAAAAACATTTTTTTTTTTTATTGAGCATGAATATACTTAATTTGAAAATACCATATTAATCAACCATTATTACATAAAAATGCGAGATTGATCGGTACTATTAATTTTCATTTTATTACTTTTTTATAATTTGTAGATGATTTTGTTGTGTAAAATTGTACACGTACTATTAACATAATTGTAAAGAAGTACATGTACAATGTAGATATATGTTAAGCATACTAGTTGTGAAATAAGCAAAGATTTAAACTGCGCCACTTTCTCCCACCCACCATTTTCTTCCTCACTATCGATAGAAAAACCCACCTTCCTTGTTAAGTTATGATTATTCTTTATGACACAAACTAACTGTTCATCTATTTTTGACGCCGCTTAGACTCATAAAAATCGGAATTATGTAAGATTTAATAGGTTGCTTTCGGATTTAATTTTTATGTGTCAATATATGAAACTGAAATTTTGTTCGTGAGAAAGAGATACAGCTTACAGTAAGTATTCCTATATTTCTGGCAGTAAAACTATGTCATGTATACTTGATTCGCTCGCTCCAAGGTGCCAGATGTAGATACGTCACTGAATGCGGTCGTGTGCTGTGGTCAAACAAAGAACTTGTGCAAGTATCGCATAGGAACGTTGGATCGTGAAATATTTCCCCAAACTTCACTATAAATTCTATATCAGGAAGTCATATAACACTGTCTTCGTTACGTTTACCTGGATATGTGTGGACGACAGGGATATTTCAGGAATTCCCAAGTCATATAAATATATATACGAGCGTGCGCGTATCATTGGTTAATGGCTGGAAATGACTCAACGTATACGTGTGTCCCCATTACTCTATTTATAACTTTTAGGAACTATATAAACTGTATACACAACCACTATAGTAAGTACAGTTTGTGTCTGGGTAAGTATCAACTATATGTTTATGTATCATCAGCATAAGGATCAGATTGACTGGGCCCATTAACATAAGTACAGTCATACACGGGTTGATGGGGAGAAACAGGTTATAAATATGCACTGCTACAACCATGCTAGTTCTGCGTGGTCATGCTTGATTCCCGACAAATCTGGTCTTTGTGCCATCAATTAGAACGTGGCATTGACAGTATTATACTGAAAAGCAAGACAAAGTATGCCATCGTGTTGCCGAGGCTAAACTATAACAGTAATTTGCAGAGTGGTATGATAGCTTAATTGTACAAGGGTTAATACATGTCTGACTTAAGGAGCGTGTAGGTCACATACCTAAGCAATATTTCGACGTACTGTGATATTCACAAATATTATATTACATGTACATAGCAAAGAGTAAAACAATATAAGCACTTATCATACAAACCAAAATAAATGTCTATAAATCAAATTATGTTTAATAATTACTGTTCATTTTTGTATTGTTTTGAATAATTAGACTGTCATCGAATAACTAATCCAGGACTAATAACGTTATAATTGTAAATATATTCCTGTTTTTACTGTCATATGCTAGATCAGTTTTCAAGACATAAATATTCTTAATGTGTTAATTTGGTAATGGCAATAAATAATCTTTATACCAAAAAATATCCAATTATTTCAATTTAAAATCAGATAAGTGTTTAGTAAAAAAGATATTCTGTTGACAAATATATGAGTGGATTGAAACATCCAATATCTCTCCAATAAAATTATTTTGTGAACTTGTACTAAGGGAGATTACTACGGAAAACCATTTTTACCGTCTAAATATTTTGACATTAAGTTACATTATTAAGACAATGTTTCCGTTGTTACTGAATATCTTCATATACATAATATAGATCGCTAGACTGAACGTAACATTACAATTGCAGGCACCAATAAAACCATTACAATGATTACGTCGTCGGCAAAGAGTTCCATAATGTATCCAAATGGCATACTGGAAAACGAACCCAGGAAACCAGAGATGGCTGACCAGTCACGAATGGCAAGTTTCTTTTCATACCCTTACACGTCTGAAGTAAGTGCCTTTGAACTGGCAGAAGCAGGCTTTCATTACGATGGACAAAATGATGAGGTAATGTGTCGTCAGTGTGGACTCAGGTACAGTGGATGGCAAAAGGGAGATGACCCAAAAAAACTGCATATGAAAATTTTCCCCTGTTGTCCATTCTTTCAAAAAGGAAAATCTGAAAATGTTTTCATGGACTACTTTCAACAAAGAAACGTACTTTTCTCTGGTGCATGTAGTAAACCGGTAAACGTAGTGGCAGAACGAAAACGTGAAGACAGGACAAAGCAACAACACGAATCTGAACCCTTTTCAGGAACGGAAGAGTCGGCGATTATTGCAGCTCCTAACGAGACACAAACAGTAGAGCAAATTGACCAAAACAACAGAGAAGTCTTGTCTAATACAGGTCACGACTCTGCAGGTCATTCTGACACAATAACAATCCAGACATCGACTGGATCACTAGAGACAGTCTCACCGAAGTATCAGCAGTTCTCTGTACTCGCCACCCGTCTTACCTCATATAGACACTGGCCACAACATCTCAAACAACGTCCCGAGGACTTGGCAAAAGCTGGTCTCTTTTATGAAGGTAAGGTTATTAAGCTTATTGTCTCTCACTTACTTCTTCTCGTTCACTTACATTTATCAAGCTTTTAAATTACATAAACTTTGGATAATTATTTCGTGTTTACAATATATATTTACATCAAGCAGAGACGTATATGCTTTATATGTTTCTGCATCAAGATACCAATCAAGACACTATGTAGAATGTGTCTGTAATTTATACTGGCTAATTAGTTCTTTTTATCTTGACAATCAGAAACAAACGACTACGTGAGATGCTTCCACTGCGCAGGGGGATTACGTGAATGGGAACCGGAAGATGACCCCTTTTATGAGCATGCGCGCTGGTTCCCTTTTTGTCCGTTCATGAGACTGATCAAGGGCGACAAGTTCATAATGGGTGTCCAGTCTGGAACGATCAAACCAACTGTTATACAGGTAAATATGTACATCAAGTATCTACCTGATATACAGGTAAATATGTACATCAAGTATCTACCTGATATACAGGTAAATATGTACATCAAGTATCTACCTGATATACAGGTAAATATGTACATCAAGTATCTACCTGATATACAGGTAAATATGTACATCAAGTATCTACCTGATATACAGGTAAATATGTACATCAAGTATCTACCTGATATACAGGTAAATATGTACATCAAGTATCTACCTGATATACAGGTAAATATGTACATCAAGTATCTACCTGATATACAGGTAAATATGTACATCAAGTATCTACCTGATATACAGGTAAATATGTACATCAAGTATCTACCTGATATACAGGTAAATATGTACATCAAGTATCTACCTGATATACAGGTAAATATGTACATCAAGTATCTACCTGATATACAGGTAAATATGTACATCAAGTATCTACCTGATATACAGGTAAATATGTACATCAAGTATCTACCTGATATACAGGTAAATATGTACATCAAGTATCTACCTGATATACAGGTAAATATGTACATCAAGTATCTACCTGATATACAGGTAAATATGTACATCAAGTATCTACCTGATATACAGGTAAATATGTACATCAAGTATCTACCTGATATACAGGTAAATATGTACATCAAGTATCTACCTGATATACAGGTAAATATGTACATCAAGTATCTACCTGATATACAGGTAAATATGTACATCAAGTATCTACCTGATATACAGGTAAATATGTACATCAAGTATCTACCTGATATACAGGTAAATATGTACATCAAGTATCTACCTGATATACAGGTAAATATGTACATCAAGTATCTACCTGATATACAGGTAAATATGTACATCAAGTATCTACCTGATATACAGGTAAATATGTACATCAAGTATCTACCTGATATACAGGTAAATATGTACATCAAGTATCTACCTGATATACAGGTAAATATGTACATCAAGTATCTACCTGATATACAGGTAAATATGTACATCAAGTATCTACCTGATATACAGGTAAATATGTACATCAAGTATCTACCTGATATACAGGTAAATATATTTATCAGATTTCTACCTGATATACAGGTAAATATGTACATCAGATATCTACCTGATATACAGGTAAACATTTACATCATATATCTACCTGATATACAGGTAAATAAACAGGTAAATATGTACATCAGATATCTACCTGATATACAGGTAAACATGTACATCAAATATCTACCTGACATACAGGTAACATGTACATCAAATATCTACCTGATATACAGGTAAATATGTACATCAGATTTCTACCTGATATACAGGTAAATATATTCATCAGATTTCTACCCGATATACAGGTAAATATGTACATCAGATATCTACCTGATGTACAGGTAACTATGTACATCAGATATCTACCTGATATACAGGTAATCATTTACATCATATATCTACCTGATATACAGGTAAACATGTACATCAGAAATCCTATCATAACAGGAAATATAACTTTACACAGATATCCGTTGATGAAATGTAATTCCGGTAAACTACATACATTATAGTAATATAAAGTGTGTATGAACAGTAACATATTTTGAGTTTGCTAAGTTGTTACCTGTATTGATTTCGCCATATCCTTTTTTTTGTAGCCGGTTGATAAACTGAAGTCAGAACAAAGTAAGGAATTAAACTTATTTGACCACCCGGCTGTACTTAGCATCATGGAGATGGGCTACAGTAAAACTATACTGACCAAAGCAATTACAATCTACAGGAAACGCCATGGTAAGATTAATTATATTTAAAACGGTGTAGGATATTTGGTTATCACATAAACACTCAGAAGTCATTGTAAGTTCTACCAGTTTGTTTAAGTTTAGGTTCATAGCCGATTCTTCTGATTTGACGTCCTATTTTCAATAGCAAATTTATTTGTGTTTATTCATTTTTTTCTTGTTTAATTCTAGGAATGGAATTAAGTGCCGACAAGTTATTGCCTGTTGTCTGGGAAATAGAGGAAACTAATATAGATATTATTCAAGGCGAGGACAATGTTATAAACGAGCAGACTAACGATAACGGAAGTGGTGATATCGGTGATATAATGGGACTAGACACGTCAGTAGAAAGTGCCCTGAAAGGTAATTAATGATGTGAAAGGGAATTAATGATGTGAAAGGCAATTAATGATGTGAAAGGGCATTAATAATGTGAAAGGGAATTAATGATGTGAAAGGGCATTAATGATGTGAAAGGTAATTAATGATGTGAAAGGGAATTAATGATGTGAAAGGTAATTAATGATGTGAAAGGGCATTAACGATAAAAAAGGGAATTTATGATGTGACACGTATACATTCTATTCCGAATTTATGTTTGAACAACTAATGAGAAGAAAACTGAAATAGGAAAGACTCTTTTTTAAGAACGTTAGGCAATTTTCCAAATAGTTTGACCTAATCAGATTATTTTTCTTTTTACAGTCATTGATGAATTAATAGAGGCAAATCGGGAACTTCGTGAACAAAAGAGATGTAAAGTTTGTCTTGACGAGGAGGCTAGTATTGTGTTCCTGCCTTGTGGACATTTAGTCACGTGTCCTATGTGTGCATCTGCCTTACGTAAGTGTCCAGTTTGTCGGACTTACATCAGGGGCACGGTCAAGGCTATCATTTCATAATCCATAGCTTGTGCTACCATTCTTTTGCACTGGACCTATGAAATTTGGACAGATATATGCCTTTTTGAAGTCCAGATCATTGATGGTCAGTTGGCGGAGAGGATATAGCACACGCCTTTTGCTGAAAGCGTTTGGGTTCGATTCTCCTATCGGAGACGAAAAAGGTATTGGTCATTTGCCCGACCACGTGAGTTTTCTCAGATTAAGATCCATCAACTAGAGTAATAAAGATTAAAAGGACACGTTTAAGTATATTATTCTAATGTTAACACTTACATTAGAGACGGACAAATTGAGAATTTAAGGCGAATGGCCAATACGTCAGTCGGAGGTTTCCCCGGAACACTCAGATTTAGACGTCCAATTAGTCACGTATTGTACGGTTTGATGAACGTGACGTTTTGATTTCTGTGGGTCATACCAGGGTAGTTGGTATGTTCGCCGAAATAGTTATACAATCTGGGATGTACGAGAGTACAACCATATTTTGTCCCAAAGTAAAAGACTCGACCACCATATTTGATTCATGGGTTTCCAAAAGCTAACGGGGATTTCGGGTAGCTATTATATTTTTTTTTGTATTTAATATACCTGTGTACATGTATATAGGAATTATAAACTGTAGCAGCGTACCAGTCGGATATTTGTACTTCTCATAGGACAATTATATTTAGTTATTTTGTTTTTGGTTGTTACCTGTCACAAAATAGTTATTTTGTTAAAAAAATGTTTTTGGACAAAAGTTTACCTCCAACCGAACCTTAATCAGGTAAATGATTTATTTATTTTGGAATTAAGTCTCACCAATATTGATTGAAGGTCTTTTGTTTTTGTTTTGTTTTTGTTTTGTTTTTGTTTTATTGTTTTTGTTTTAATTTGAATGTCTTTTGATGCGTTACTCCGTAGAAAATCGGATCTGTATGTATACATACTGCACGCGTCTTATTTGAATACTAGATGATCCAGCTGAACTGATAAATCCCCAATATATATTTTTAACAGCTTTTCTACACTTAAAACAATAATCATAAATCACAAAAACATTCAGTGGAGTGGTCACATTTGTGATAATCCTTTATTTTGCATCTAGTAGTATCAATAATCCACAAACAAACTGTGTAAATTGCATGCTAATACATGTATTATGTTATTTAACAATTGAAAAGTTTAAATAACGATTTTCAAGGAAATTTGATGTAATAAATAAAAGGAAAACTTAAAACCAAATGTGAACTATACGCGAATACACAAACCCCCAAAACAACAAAACCAAACAGTTATACACCCGTCAAGTAATTAGGTCTAACAATTAAACAGAAGCCGCCTTGTTTTTAATTTAAAATCCTGTATCATTCTTTTGATTTATTTTTACAAATAACATCAACACGCAAGCACAAAACATATCACGGACTAAGTCATTATTTTCTATAGGCGGTTTGTAGTTATATGTATCACCAATGATAGATAACACATCCTTAACCGTCATAATGTCGACTGGCTCAGACAAAATTAATATCATAGGATAAATACATACTTGAACGAAAATTTAACTGATTAAAAATATAACATTGTTGTTACTTTTTGTGCCCGGATCTTGCCCTATCATCTTATTCAGACTGCAATGTGTGTTTCCATGTATATTTATTGTTTACGTTTTATCAATAAAATATTCGATTCCATATTTCATTGTTGTTTTGTGCAAATTAATTATCTACGTATATAAGCAATTGAAAATGAATTTAAACAACTGATTAGTTTCCCCCTTTTTATTAGATCGTCAATGAAGATGGATTGTTATTCACAAATAAAAAAAAAATGTCATTAAATTGTAAACGATATTCATTGTTAGTTTAGTTCCATTGTCTACTTAATATTTTTTTAATCAGTTACTATTTGAAATTTTGTTTGTTGACTGTCGACCATGTATTAGTCATGGCTCTATCAAAACACTCCATATATATTTTAAAGTAGGAAGTGTACCTGTTCTGTTTAGGTCACGACGTCTATTTCTAGCCTTTAATACTTCACGTTATAAAGGATATGGTGATAAGATATACGCGGTTCGGAGTATAGCGATTATTATTACAAAGGGGTTTCCGACTTCCGCCATTGTAGACTGTCTGTCTGTATGTCCCAAAGAGAATACTTAATGGATATCCCCGAAATGGATATTCTGAGAATTTATAACCTTTCATTGCAAAATTCCCTACAAATGAACTGCTTTCTTTAGTTAAAGCTTCTTAAAAATGGAAAAATCCTGACAGAGTTCTTATTGGTTAACAACTTACACATTTCCAGGAAATCAAATTTTATGGAAGCTGATACGGTTATCACTATTAATGGAAACTTAACGACCATGAAATCGAGTATCTTACAGCTGTGTCGTAGCACTTGGTAGTGTGTCGACCAGTATTGTTGTACACGTACTTAACAGGGTAACTTCGTAATTTAAGTAACCAAGTAGTTTTCGACATTCCTGTTTTTCAATAACGAACATTATTCAAAAGATACAAATGTGAAATTAAGTGATAAAACAAGTATCTTTGTCATTTATTTGTCAGATAAAAGGTTATTCCACATTAGAGTTACAGTCGACTGTTACAGTAACATATTTGTTCAACAATATTAATATAGAGTAATTCAGGTGACCTACGTATTGTATGAGGTAACGACGTTGTATGTATTCCGTCTATTCTCACACAAACTAATGACGTTCAATCAATACCTGCTCACAAGGGCAGATAACACTGCAATACGAAAAGACGGAATTATCATCTTAGTAAATGATTTACTTCTACGTTCAAGTCCTGACGCTCACGTTTACCTTCATCTAATGATAAGCAAGGTGCCGTGTATGATGGTCGTGTGTATTCTCCACAGCAAAAACGTATTCAAAGTTAATATCCAACAAATAGTGTAAAAAAAGCTATATATATTTTTTAATATGAACAATCACATTCATGTGATAAAGAGAAAAGATAACGTATTTATTTTACAAATGGTGAATATGCTTTGAATGCCCAAAACATATAATTATATTATTTATATATATATATGTATAGAAATATTGGATAACCAATCCGCGAGCTATTTTTTCAATTTGTTTTTTAAAAAAAAGTACACGGTACATCAATATTTCAAGAAATATTTCCAGGTAAGAATAGCTGAAGAAATGTCGGACCGTATTTTATAATTGACAAATGTCTATTATAGTTATACTCGTATTTCTTTTGTTCTACGCATTTTGGATTCTTTTGTAAGTCTTCGATACTAAAGATGTAAATGAAAAACAACTAACGGTTTAACATGCGACGTGGTATTGTCTGTTCATGCGAAATTGTAATTTTCGGAACTATTATAGGGAATGTAAATCCGCATAAGTCTTTCTAAACACACAATAAGCTGAGTACGGGTGTGTGATTGGTTGTTATAAATATCTTGTCTGTGTGAATAGATGTTCTGCAATCACCAGTGCCTACGTATGACTTATTGCAAATCGTGGTCGTGCTCCGTAATGATTTAACTTCACCGATCGTGACAAATTATTGCGACATGTCGATATCTTTGTAACAAAATCGCATTTTGAGTCAAAATACATGATTTGTCGCCATAGTTACCTTGGCAGTCGTGTTACCGTATTAAACACCATCTACATCAACACAGGTTTCTGCCTCGATACCTGATTCGAGGCAGAAACCTACGCGTATGTATTAACTAGATGGCAGTAATACGCTAACAAATGCGTTCTAGCAGCTTGGTAAAGTAAATCAGATTTGCCTGTATGCTATGTTATGCTTTGCTCGGTAGCAGCAGACGATAAAGATATTGCCTTAGTACATATTATGTAGCTGTGCTAGCGCTTCTGAAGTAGTGCTAAGTAATAAGCTTTCCTGTGTAAGATCACCCATTTATCTTTTATTGGCCAACTACAATACATATTATTGACTTGCTGTATTACGTAAACCAAGTATGTTTTATTATCAACAGTGTGACTCTCGTAGTTTGTGCGGCACATCTATTGTTTGCCGATGAATAGTCTTAAAATAGATCGCAGCCATGACACACTCCATTTTACCTATAATACGTATACATGTGTGTAGAATTCCATATTGGAAATTTTGGAGGGAAACGATTGCAACACTCTGCATAAAAAAGTGGAAATAAAATACAGTTTTCGAAAGATTTCATTCAAAATTACCACATCGCACACAAAAGACAAAAAATCAGCTTTTATTTACAAATTTGTTGCTAGTATTTACAAATAATCCGCCAGTAAAGCATTTCAATTATTGACTTTGCTAGAATTTGAATAATGTTTAATTATTACCAGTAACTTAGGTGTGAACGTGTTCCGTTAATACAACGAGGGTAGGGTTGGTGATATACAATTATTTGTGTATTTTTGTAGAATTCAACATAAGAAATTGTAAGAATATATTTAGTAAGTGACGTTCCGTGTATAAATCAAGGATGAAGAACATTAAATGGTTATTGATATATATAACGTGTAATTATATATTGTATGTAGAATTTAACATAGGAAATTGAAAGTATACACCGTGTAAGTGACATTCCGTTAATACAACAGGGATGTAGAACATTAAAGGCTTATTGATATATATATATATATATATAACGTGTAAGTATATATTTATGTATAATTTAACGTAAGAAATTACAATTATATATCGTGTAAATGACATTCCGTTAAGAGCTTATGGTATACATACCGTTAAAGTAACAAAAGTATACAGAATTGTCAACCAAACCGCCTTATGAACTCAAAATCGATAAAACTAGGACAGAATATGAAACCAAAGAATGATTTACCTGGAAACCATCTATGACACGGTGTAAGGAGAATAAGCCCGGGATGGTAAACCACATCAGTAATTCTGAAAATTATGGCCTGTATGACAGACTGGTTGTAAACCACATCCAATGCCAATGGTCTACGTTATCGCTGAGTGGATGGGTAAAGACCCAAAATATGAAATGTTTACCAACGGTTTAAAAATAGAATACGGAAACCCCATGTCATTATATATAATATATGCTGTTCACCTGTATTTCGATTTGGTTGCGAAATCGTTGACGGTAAGCGAACATATTTCGTACGATGTATTTACAGACATGTGCTATTGATATAGACACAGAGAGATATTGCTATAAAACAAACGCATTTATAATATTTGTTTGTTATCATTACTCAAGTCTCGTCTTTTCATTAATGTGAATCCAAAAAGTAAAAAACTGACTTTAGATATCATTTCTTTTATATAGATACGTCAACACAGAGGTTCTAAATTCTTGATTATTGAAAGTTGACTTAATATATAAATGCAGTGGTGACTTGTGGATTCGTGTACAATTGGAAAACGTTTATAAATATCGTTGGTGTGTAAACTATTCCAAATCACCAACGTGAACATGCTAATTGGATCATAATTTAAATGTCTAAATGTGTACATTTAAAATAGATATCGTTAGCTGATCATTTTTACATTGAATAGTTATACTGGAGTGGGGGCAGAAATACTGAAATATGTACGCTCAATGAATAAAAACCGCTAAATCAATCATAAGGGGAAACATAACAAATCTATATACATAAATCTTCGTTAGCACAACTACAACGGGACACAACGGGGTACGGCTTTGTATTTGTATTATGATATTTTTCATTAATCATGTCATTTTGTGTTACTCAATACATTGTGATCTATGGAAAGTTCTCAACTGTATCTACATGCTGGAGACGAAAACGAATTGTAGCGTGTCTGACACGGCAAACAAATCGATTAAATCGGTATTGTAAGGTTTAAGAATGATTTAATTATATGTATCAGTTCGCATATTAAATCTCACTAATCCAGGTACCGACGACCCACAGCAGTTGTTATAGGGACAAGAAAGCTATTTTCGTCCAAAATCGCACATTTGCCTAACGAAAGTATGTACATGACGTCATGTCTAAATATCGAAAATGAAACAAGCAAAATCAGCAGTTCTAGCTGGTATGGGATTTACATCGGGTTCTTTTTCAATATTCCAGCTGAAGATGGAACAGTGAGGTTATACTATGTTCATTTCATGATATATGGCACAAAACGTAAGTTTTATTTCAGGTAAATTTTATGTTAACGATTAATTTGTTGTACATGTGAAGCATTCTACTTTTTCCTCCAAAGGAAGATCTAAATTATGTAAATCGTACTAATGGTTTAATCACTGAAATGTTATCTAGATTGTATAGATCCAATTATATTACTGGTTCATAAGTCAACAACTGAAAAAAGCATAAGATTACCTGAACTAACAAGCTCTTTGAAAATACCCTACTTTTTAAAATCTATATTTACAGCAAGCAGGAACTATATACACATTCGCATTAAGTGCCTACACACATGGTTATTGTCACGTGTCAGCTTACTTATGTATACTTCAAGCTAGTATCGTTAGGTGTAAGAATTATTTTTAGTGAAAGAAGTCAAATTATGTCATCAGTTTGTCGAGGATAAGGTAAATTATTAATTTGAAACGTAGCGTATTATCTTAATTGCAAAAAAAAGTATATACTTCTGATAATATGGGTGCGTTTGTCACAATATGTCGAAATATTATTGAGCAAACATTTAAGTGCTTAATATAAGCACGCCATAATTTGATTTTATTTATTGCTTGTACATTTCAAAAAGTACAACAATTGAAGAAACGTCGTATTCACGTAGCGTGTATTTATAGATCGATAAAATAAACATGTTATTTTGACAATAATTTGTAAACCGCTTTGAGACGACCTTCAAACTAGTTTGCGAAAAAGCGGTATATTAGAACCTGGAATTATTATATATTAATTATTAGTTTAGTTTCGTTTATTTGTAGATCTCTACTTCATTCAAGTGTCAATGCTAAACCTGTTAAAGCCATATAACGTTGTAGAGAGCAATGTTTTACACCGAGTTCCCTCGTGTGATTATTGGTATATAACTTTATACACTGAAACAATTTAATTGCAGGTTCCAATTAAACACGATGATGATTACGTCGACTGCAGAACCATGTTCAGTGTGTCCTCAGGATATTTTGGAAAACGGACGTAAGAAATCAAAGATGGCTGACCAGTCACGTCTGGCAAGTTTCTTTTCATACCCTTATACGTCTGGGGTAAGTGCATTGGTGCTGGCAGAAGCAGGCTTTCATTACGAAGGACGAAATGATGAGGTAATGTGTCGTCAGTGTGGACTCAGGTACAGTGGATGGCAAAAGGGAGATGATCCCAAATGTATACATCTGAAAAAATCTCCCAATTGTCCATTCTTTCAATCCAATGAACCTGAAGCTGGTGTTTATGGAAACAGTCCTGAGACAGGAAATATGTTAAGGCCTGATGCAAGACGTGGACCGGACGAAATAGTGACAGAACGGAAAAACATAAAACAGCAACACACAAAAAGCAGCACATATACCACATTGATAAACTTCCAGGAAAACGAGAATATTCCTGCAGCGGCCACACAAGTACCGAAAGTAGAAAATGGATTCAAATTAGGTCAAGATGTACCTGACAATGCTGTACATAGAGAGGATACAGTAAATTCGATGACACGTTCCGACGTTTCCAACCTGAGAAATGAAAACGAGGCGTTAGAACACTATTCAGGAACGGAAGATTCGGCGATTACTACAGCTCCTAACGAGACACAATCAGTAGAGCAAATTGATCAAAACAACAGAGAAGTCTTGTTTAATACAGGTCACGACTCTGCAGGTCATTCTGACACAATAACAATTCAGACATCGACTGGATCACTAGAGACAGTCTCACCGAAGTATCAGCAGTTCGCTATACTCGCCACCCGTCTTACCTCATATAGCCACTGGCCACAACATCTCAAACAACGTCCCGAGGACTTGGCTAAAGCTGGTCTCTTTTATGAAGGTAAGGTTACTATATATTAAACAAACATGTAACAGAGTCTCTGCTAAGTACTACTCCCGGGTAGGTTTCGGGGACCTCCTTGTTGCCTTCTGCAGCCCTTACTGAAATCAGTAGGGGGCTTTAGACTAGCCTGAAAATTCAGTCATGTGACCTGGGGTAGGTGGTAGCACCCTCGATCTTGGTTCAAGTTGAAGGTTTCTTTGCTAACTATACACACAGAATTGCACACGTATTCATCAAACAATAATTAGCCTTTGACATATAAAAAAAGAAATAGTTTAGTTAACGTATGGTAACATTCCTCAAACATTAATCAACTTGTAAAACACTAAACTTCATTTTTTAAACGATAAAACTGATTGAAAACATTATATATAATTACTAAGACATTGTGTTAATGTCTTCAATTTCCACCGACGATTCAGTTCTCATTTGTCTTTATACACAGGAACAAACGACTACGTAAGATGCTTCCACTGCGCAGGCGGATTACGTGAATGGGACCCGGAAGATGACCCCTTTTATGAGCATGCGCGCTGGTTCCCGTTTTGTCCGTTCATGAGACTGGTCAAGGGCGACAAGTACATAACGGGTGTTCAGTCTGGAACAATCAAACCAACTGATATACAGGTAAATATGTACATCAAATATCTACCTGACATACAGGTAAATATGTACATCAAATATCTACCTGATATACAGGTAAATATGTAAATCAGATATCTACCTGATATACAGGTAAATATGTACATCAAATATCTACCTGACATACAGGGAAATATGTACATCAGATATCTACCTGACATACGGGTAAATATGTACATCAAATATCTACCTGATCTCCGTGTAAATATGTACATCAAATATCTACCTGACATACAGGGAAATATGTACATCAGATATCTACCTGACATACAGGGAAATATGTACATCAGATATCTACCTGACATATAGGTAAATATGTACATCAGATATCTACCTGATATACAGGTAAATATGTACATCAAATATCTACCTGACATACAGGAAAATATGTACATCAGATATCTACCTGACATATAGGTAAATATGTACATCAGATATCTACCTGACACACACGTAAATATGTACATCAGATATCTACCTGACACACAGGTAAATATGTACATCAGATATCTACCTGATATACAGGCAAATATGTACATCAAATATCTACCTGATATACATGTAAATATGTACATCAAATATCTACCTGACATACAGGAAAATATGTACATCAGATATCTACCTGACATACAGGTACATATGTACATCAGATATCTACCTGACATACAGGTAAATATGTACGTCAAATATCTACCTGACATACAGGTAAATATGTACAGCAGATATCTACCTGACATACAGGTAAATATGTTCATCAAATATCTACCTGACATACAGGTAAATATGTACAGCAGATATCTACCTGACATACAGGTAAATATGTTCATCAAATATCTACCTGACATACAGGTAAATATGTACGTCAAATATCTACCTGACATACAGGTAAATATGTACATCAGATATATACCTGACATACAGGTATATATGTACATCAGATATCTACCTGACATACAGGTAAATATGTTCATCAAATATCTACCTGACATACAGGTAAATATGTACAGCAGATATCTACCTGACATACAGGTAAATATGTACATCAGATATCTACCTGACATATAGGTAAATATGTACATCAGATATCTACCTGATATACAGGCAAATATGTACATCAAATATCTACCTGATATACAGGTAAATATGTAAATCAGATATCTACCTGACATACAGGTAAATATGTACGTCAAATATCTACCTGACATACAGGTAAATATGTACGTCAAATATCTACCTGACATACAGGTAAATATGTACAGCAGATATCTACCTGACATACAGGTAAATATGTACATCAGATATATACCTGACATACAGGTATATATGTACATCAGATATCTACCTGACATACAGGTATATATGTACATCAGATATCTACCTGACATACAGGTAAATATATAGACCACAGATATCTGATCAACAAAGGATACAGAACTTACCAAACAGATAGATCTTTGAAATACACTTTCGTTTAAACACATATATTACAATGATAATTTGCAATTGAACATTATCCTGTTTCGTATTTGCCACGATGTTGTAAACATTGCCTTACACCTTATGTATTGCAGGATAACAAACTGAAGTTAGGACAAAGTAAGGAATTAAACTTGTATGACCATCCGGCAGTGCTAAGCGTCATGGCGATGGGCTACACTAAAACTGTTCTGACAAAAGCAATTACAATCTACAGGAAACGCCATGGTAAGTTATTATTATCGAACGACGTAAGATGTTTTGATCGTTAACAAACACTCAGAAGTAATTGACAGTTGTAATACTTTGTAAAAGTTGGATATAATTAAACAATTTTAAACGATTTTAATTCTTATTTCCAATGACCCATGAATTTGTATACATTTTATTCTAATTTTCCACTATAGGAATGGATTTAAGTGCCGAAAAGTTATTGCCTTTTGTCTGGGAAATCACGGAAAACGGTACCACGGCCGTCATTCCAGACGAGGAGGTTTCTGAAAAGGAACAGACCTACGATAATAAAACCGAAATGCGATGTGAAAGTAAAAGTGATGTAACGGAACTAGTTACGGCAGCGGAAAGTACCAATAAAGGTAATCAAAGATGTCAAACTTGTAAATTTATTCGAAATGATTTTTTTTTAAACCAGAAAAGAATGACTAATTTAACTGAACAACTTATTTCAACTTATTTTCTTATCAATGAGTAAATATTTAATATATGCAAAACCATTATTAGTTTTAATCAGGGTCCTATTTTCACAGGTATTGATGAACTTACAGAGGAAAACCGGGAACTTCGTGAACAGAAGAACTGTAAGGTGTGTTTTGAAGAGGAGGCTAGTATTGTTTTCCTGCCATGTGGACATTTGGTCACGTGTCCATTGTGTGCCTCGGCCTTACGAAAGTGTCCAGTTTGTCGGACTTACATCAGAGGCACGGTCAAGGCTATCATATCGTAATTCACCGGAAAAGTGAAATTTTGACAGATATTAGTGTTTTTGAGTTCCAGTTCAGTGATGGTATGCTGGTCAGTGGATATCACACACGCCTTTAACTTGATATTGTGACAGATATAAGTCTATTTAAGATCCAGACTACATTTCTGTATCCAACCATACGGAAACAGTTTTATACTTCAGTGTAGTCGTCATTTTTATTAAAATAAATACTGAATCAGGGTTCAGTGCCATATTCGGCCGTTTTACGCCCCTCACCGAAAAAGCATATGTTTGTATGGTGATACCTTTTGGTCTGACATAAATAAATTGCAATACTAGAAAAAAAGTTTGACCCCTTGGGAGATATTTGAGGTCAGTTGAGAGGTGGGTAATGACATCGTCCCGATTTAATGCCTACAGATTTTATTTTGTAGTAATAGATACATTTTTATGAACAGTGTTTAGGTTGATGAATACATTGGAGAAATATCAACTATATATTTACTTTCCCATTGCTAGAATATTTCTAATTTTCTGATCCAAAACATAATTACTGCACGAATATTGTATAACAAAGTGTGTTTTGTTGTTGTATGGAATGTATCAAAAATATTGTAGGTACATTATCAAGTACTGGAGGTAAATTATATGTATACAAGTAGGAGACAATATATCAGAACTTTATATCAGCTAACGTCGAGCCATTTTTTTGTTATTGTTTAATACTTTTAGTGATGTTTTAGTGCTCTTAATATAAACATTTTTTTTTGATATTTGGTAAATATAAGTTATCTTTTTATGTACAGCTAGTCTACTTGTGACCAATCTTCCGATTTGATTGTACATTTACATAGTGAATGAGTTTACTTGATGACATCCGTTTGTTCTTGTTTTCATGTTACATAAGCACCGCATCCAACCATTCATGCGCCAGATTTGCTTTGACAATACCAGCTAATTATTGAAGTGAATCTTACTGTACAAAACGTAATCCAGAGGTTGTACACTTAAACCGGCCTTGTGCGTTTATCAGTCCAGATTCGTCTTTGTGCACTATCAACTCATACGGACCGTACTGTGATAAATGCTCTGCCATATTAGCCTTTGTGCACTATCAACTCATACGGACCGTACTGTGATAAATGCTCTGCCATATTAGCCTTTGCTTACTTCAACTGTTTCATCGGCAACAGAACAGTGTCCTAGTATGAAGCAAAGAGTGTTTTGGAACAGACAGTGAAATTGTTTCGGATAGCCATCGCTTCTGCTGATATCCTGAAGACCAAGATGATATGGAACAAATGTACACATTAATACTGATTTTATTGATAGTCAGACTGTGACCACTCTCCCGAATGGATTGCGCATTAACAGAGTGAATTAACTTATGCGACATATGTTTGCTCTTGTTGTTTTCGTGACGTTCATACGAAAGATACCACACACCTGAAGTCGCATGAGCATAGCATCTTACCGCTCGTGTTCCATACTTCCGCTTAATCTGATATTGATGCTTAAAAGGGAAGATAGATAAGATAAAGAAAATTCTGGTCTGAATTTGATCCAAAGCAGGGCTAGCGCAAGTCGAGGACTACGAATAGAAAATGTGTTAAAATCGTTGTAAAAAGCTCTTAGAACTGATGTGTTCTAGACCGGTCAGATGATGGTAATCTGCATCTCTCAGTCCGTCTGAAGATTACATGTCCTTTCTTGGATGTCCTACCTGCCCTTCTCCAAAGCCTTTGAATCACTGATGTTTCTATTCCAGATGACACTTGATTTGGAGTACATTTTGAATGAAAACTAAATCTTGGATTACGTCTATGAGAAGATGAGAAGAAGTGTAGCTGATCCGATAAATATGTTTGTTTTGCATTTCTGCGGTAAGCTTGTTTTTATTTTTTGCAATTGGTTGCTTTACAGATAAAGCACTTCGACTCCGAGAATGACGCCCGAGGTATTTCAAGTGAAATCTTCTTTATCCTTACACTGTGGTATACTCGTCCGATTCCGAATCTGAGTGATGATTTCGATGTATGTAAACATTTCCTTTGCATTATTTGCAAACCATGTCACCTTTCCTGAAAGAATTTTTGATGTTTATTTGAAGATATAAAAGGATATTCCAATTACGTAAGCACTTAATGGAACATTATTACGCCCCCCCCCCCCACACGAATTCCCCGTGCAACATGCACATCTTTTTAGGAGAAGACTTATATAGGATAAAGAACATGTTGTCTAATCTATTTGTTCAATTGTTTTTGTCCAATAAAATGTACATAACTATATTATCTTTTCTTGGCATTATTTTTGACTATTTGGTAATAAAACCTTATAATTTTGGCAAAATGAGGAAAGTGTCTTCAGAAATGACAGTACATATACTTCAATTTTCTAAAGTCTCCAGTGAAAAGGACAACCGTAAAGTAACCTGACCAACACAGATGTTATCAGTTAACTACATCTCCATGCATTTCTATAATAACAGAAAACACCATAGAGAGTAGTACCTGGGTTTTTACAGGGTTAGCAAAAAGTGCATATATTATTTCCTTTTCATTTCCATATTTTAAGAAAGTTTTCTAACTGAAAATGAGGGTTCACTTTGAATGGAATTAAAAGCAACTTCTTGTTTTGATTACAGGTTATTGATGCTTTATTGTGGAAACATGTCTGAATAATTGATTTTGACTAAACTGATTTGTTTTCAATGGATATTGAATTGAATTTATTGGAACAGAGTATTATTGTTTTAACATTGTACTTATACAGTGATGGCGTCACATGCGGTTGTAACTTCCGCGGCATAGAATTGCAAAAGTCCAGTATTTTAGAAAATAGAAAATATATCAAAATCTCTCTGAATGTAAATAGGAGGATTTAACCCTTTTGTGTTGAGGTTTGTGGAGTTGTTGCAGTTCGCAGTTCTTATAAAAAAAAATTCAAAGGCCTATGTGGTTTTGTACACCAAAAGACTCAACTTCAAGGAGTAAAGCCTTAAATGAGCGTTACATTTATGTATCTAACAAATAATTTTGTATCTATAGTTTTGCAAAAGAAATTGAAATAACAAGAACGATGATTTTATATTATTGTGTATTTTGGCTCTAAAGTAGTCTAAATTTATATCATATCAGTTTATTAAGACTACGCTGACGGTTTGTTTCAATGCATTGCATGTTGAAGCTGACCTCAAGGATGTGATGCCTAACAGACATGGGATTGTCTAGACCGTTATTTTAATAATGTGATATTAAAAAGGATATAATATGGAATTGGGAGTTCTAATTGTCATAGGTATTGTATGACACAAACCAGTAACTTATAAGATATAGGTAAAACACTATCGAATTGTTAATGTTTTATATCACTGGCATAACACGAGACAGTTATATTGTACAGGGAACGTGATAACATTATTACAATGACATTGCTTAATATTTACTATGGGATAGGTGAACACTATAGTTCTCTCTACAAGTTTCCAATACCGCATTTTCCCTGTCACGAATACGCTTAAACTGTTGTACAAATCAACATACTGTAGACCGCTGTAGTGTCCCTGATGACATCTTGAAGTTGCAAGATGCCATCCAAAATAATTATACGTTGATTGCGTTGACTGGGTCGACCAGTAAATACTATGAAAACAAACTAGGTTCAAAGTTGGATGTAATTAACGACACACAATATTGGGCATATATCCGGTTGAAGAAGCAATTGTATCAATAGGGCATTTAATAAGAATCTTTCGTCTTTTTACCAACCAATTAATTGAGTATGATTTGCCTAATTGATAAAGAGAAGAACTTTCTACCCCCTTTCCTCCTCAATAATTCGGTGGAATTCATCATGATAACACATTTTATACATTGGAAACAGGCTATAACAGCTGATAACACGTCCCCTGGTCCTATTGGTGGTCGGGTGGCGCAGTGGATTTCGCACTAGGCTCCGATTCCCCGATAGGTCGTGAAGAGGTATGGGGGTCCTTTGCCAGACGATGTGGGTTTTCTCTTGGTATTCCGGTTTTCTCCATTAATTCGATCGCAAAAACAAAGTAATTAAGAAAAGTAGCTACAGTATAACTTGTTAATAATTAATATAAAACTAAAAAAAGTAAAACAAAGAAAACGCATTCTCTTCTTGATAAAAAGTATAGGATGGTTTTATATTGCATCATGTACACTGTACTGTGAAATAAGATATTTTCGTGGTGCCGAAATTTCGTGGTTTCCACACAAATCACCATTTCATCTTTATATGTTAGACCATTTCCAATGAACTTTATAAACAAACTTACATCACTCAAAATAAGTTCTACATATAATTTTAATACAAGAATGCCAGATGTCCTCACAGTTAGCACCATTAGGAAGACGTATAAAAACGAGGTTGACCTGTAAGTCAACCGGTGAATAGAATATAAACCACCGGTATTAAATTACCGGGTACAATAAAATACACTAACGGTGTAAGGGAAATACACGAACATTTTGGTGATAACAATTGTTCGTATTACATTGTGTGTATCAATGTCTGTTTATGGTTCATCTTTTATCCATGAAATATTTCATTTCAAAATTTATCGCCGTCAAAATTTAATTATCTATGTTTATAAGCAATTGGTAGTGAAATAATTAAATGGTTATGAATTGTAATTCATTGATTAAAAAATGTAAATAAAAAATATGAACGAAAGTGTTCAGCTTATTTCATTTCTACTAAATGATTTTTTTTTATCAGAAACTTATCTTTGGCGAAGGAAAGTTGTAAAACTTGTAAAATCACCGCCTAAAGCATTACGCCAATTAAAACACTCCATATCTCTTTTATAGTTAGAAGTGTACCCGTTCTGTTTAGATCACGACGTGTATTAGTAATCCCTTGATAAGGGACGTATTAGATACAGCTATTGAAAAATTGATGTGTTTTACGCGGAAGGAGAATATGAAATGATTTATTATTTCATGCGTAGCTGGGTTATTAAAAAGGGGTTCCCGACATTCCCTGTTGTCGACCCAGACCTTCTGTCAGCGATCGTTGTACCGAGTGATAGCGATGCAGTTACTCCGAAAGAGGACAACGGTATCCCTACGAGTGGGTGTTCTGACAGGCTCACCCTCTCATTACAAAATCCCGTATTGCTGAACCTTTACTTTTCATTACTTGTTTTTCAAAGTAAAATGAAGACTGTTAATTAGAAAATTCTTCACTCAATTCTATAATGGTCAACATCACAATCCTTTTAAAATTTTGAAAGAAAGGAAGGTAACGACCGTGGAATAAAACAAAATCATGAAAAAGTACAGGGAGAATAAGACTTGACCATCTTGTAAAAACTCAGTTTACTTTCATTGTGTATGCATATGTTTATGAAATCACAAAGTAAATGCAAACCTACGATTGCCTATACGGTAAGTAATCCACATCCAATGACAATGATCTAGGTTATCGCTGTGTTTGTGTAGGTGTTCTTTAGACGCTAAAAATGAATGAGGTTATTTCCCCTTCAAATCAAAATGTTTACACAAGGTCTTAAAATAGAAAAAAAAAACGTCAGTGCAATACTAAGTATGTAATACACGTAATTTTTAATGTTTGAGTCACAACTATACCTTTCACCTGTATAACGTCTTACGACTAGGTTGAGAAATCTTTGACGGTAAGCGTATTTCGTACGATGTATTTTTAGACACGTTCGGCTTAGAGTCAGTATGATAAAATAGCTTCGAGTTTTAAGTGCATGTAATACAGGCTTTTTTAATGAAAGTCAACAAAGTTTTATTTGCATCTTATATTCACATTCAGAAACTTGTGGATTCGTGGAATTGAAAACAAAAGTTTAAAAACGATCGTTCAGTAGTTATCTATGCGTATTGAAAAATCATCAATAAGAATTTTCAAATTTGATCAGAATGAAACATCGAAACAAGTTTTATTGATATATAAAACAACAACAACAAAAACGTCCACTCACTCACAAACATTTGATGCCATTACCTCAATCATCATCAACATCATCATCATCATCATCATCATCATCATCATCATCATCATCATCATCATCATCATCATCATCATCATCATCATCAATAACAACAACAACAACATCATCATAATCATCATCATCATCATCATCATCATCATCATCATCATCATCATTATCATCATCATCATCATCATCATCATCATCATCATCATCATCATCATCATCATCATCATCATCATCATCATCATCATCATCATCATCAATCATCATCAATCATCGTCATCATCATCATCATCATCATCATCATCTCACATACATTGTGTTGCCATTACCTCCATCATCATCCTCATCATCATCATCATAATCATCATCATCATCATCATCAACATCATCATCCTCCATTCATTCATGTATGATGAAATGATTTCATATATTATAAGTACATGCATCTTTTCAGTTGCATCACAACATTAACACTTGTGTATTTTTACATCAACACATCATCTTTCTACTCTACATCCGGCATCCATACACAATCGCCCTTACTCACACTGACCCATACACACAATCTTACATACAGACACAAACAAGTAAGGATTCATAGAAATGCAAAAAATAGAGAGAGAGAGAAAGTGGGTGGGGATGGACTATTATATTTTTGAGCTCAAGCTTATGAATGTATTAATAAATTAAATAGAAGAAAATTATTGATTTTGTAATTCATTTCAAAGCCCAAGAGACAGCTATCAGAATATTATTTTTACAAAACAAGAAGTTTTTCCCATTTTTTCCAGGCCTTTTCAAACTTCTCTCTATAAGTTTCTCCTTTGCTATATGCTATAAATCTTTGTATATTATGGTAGTCTTTTATTGTGTTAACCAACGCATTTATATTTAAGGAGCTATGAAGGCAACGCATTTTATATACATATTGTTTAATTATAATGAGTATCTCATTATCAATTTTACCATTCACATTTTGTGTAAGAAATTCAAATAAATAAGATTCTTTATTAAAATCAAAAGGAATAATGAGTGCATCCAAAAGAGTTTCAAAACTTATAAGAAGATTCTGAGTCTCTTGACATTCCCATAAAATATGGGTAATAGTTTCAATCACAGAATTGCAAAATGTACACATAGGAGATACAACTATTCGAGTTTAAAAAGGAAAGAATTTGTTGTCAGAATATGGTGATTTATTCTATACTGAAACCACTGAAATTTTGTATTAGTAGTTATAGCTAAGGGAAGCTTAAAAATCTGATGCCAAGAAAAGTTACTAAAATCAAAGACTATTTCATTTCTTCTGTCCTGATGGAGCGATGTTATTTTTTACCAGGATACTATAAAAATGTTTGGAACCTTTAGACTTTTTAAAGAATGGTTCTAAGTGTACAGGAATAAAAGGACATAACAATCTTAATTTAGGAAAATCTGGATTAGAGTTGAAATGTTTTACTGCAGAAAGAACAATGTGATATTGGAGAATTTAGTCTGTATTTGATAAATTTGAGTGAATTCTTGAACTGTATAAAAGGAACCAGAATTATAGTCTTTAATCAGGTCATTTATATTAACAACTCCTTTTTTATACCAATCCTTAATGAAAACTGACCTTCTATCAATAATAATTTTGTCATTAAACCATAAGGTTTTTTTCAAGTATACCTCATTTTTGTTAATATTAATTTCATTTGCATGATACAGGTTTTTACAAGCTTTCAAAACATCATTCCAGAACTTGTTTTTACACTACAAGTCAAGGATGTCACAAAATGCAGAATCACCATCATCTGTAAGCAATCACTTTACTGTTCCATAAGAACTCATAAAGTATAGAATTCAGTTTACAAAGAAACTTTTCCTCTGGATTTGGCATCGAAACATGATAATTTCGTTTTATTATTTATAACTTAGGAATGATAAATACAAATAACACCCCCATTTACAATTCATCAGCTTGTCATTTTAACATAATTCAGCAACATCCAGTCACTAATGTTGCTAAGCGAGTGCGTCCCAGGGTAATACCGCATCCCAGGTAACGCTAACGTGCCTATTGAGACGTGGATCGCTTTATATATTCGGAAAGAAAACATCCTCGCTTACCACCGGAAACTGGCCTTGCATGATACCAAAGGGTTCCTATACGCTGCCACCAAATGATACGTGAGGATGGGCACCCATCCAGCCACTGACTTCTCTCAACGCTAGTTTACGAGTAAGGCAGTATTTCCCCCTCATTATTGACTGTGACGTTGACATATATCATTGAAAACCCAATACTGCTTTATCAGTCAAAAATGATCTACATAGTCATTTGCTAGTACGCCATACAGGGGATTCCCATATTTTCCCAAATGTGTAGTTGTGTAATGATACTAAATTTAATTTAATTTTTTAAATTCATCTTTTTGGTATTTGAATATGTCTGATTTATAGTATAATATATGTACATATATATGCGCATTATAACCTCAACAATCTATGCTCTGACTTGCAAGAACACTTGTGTCCCGGACAGTTGGGATTGGGATGGACTTTCTGTATATTCACGGTCTGAAGGAGAAGCACTTTAAACCTCACATATTCGATAGTTGTGCTATTTTTATTATAGAAATATAGCATGTACTCTTTCACTTACCTAAACAAATAGCTAGTACTTAAATGCTATTTTGTCTCATGAAATAAATCTTAGGTATCGGTGTTTATATATAGGTATTTTGTCATGTCTAAAATGACACAATTAAGATAGTAGCTGCGAGGTATCGAGGATTGTTTTATGATATTTGGAAAAAGCGTTAGGTATGTTCAAGTTAATTCGACATTAACATTTATTTCAGGGGTGCATATGACACATTCTTTATTTCGTCCAAAAGATATTTCACCTGTTTTTATATCGAAAGAAGATTTTAAGTTATAAATAGAACTACTGATAAGATTAGTTCATTAAACCTCTGTAAATTTCTGTTAACTAAACGTGAGCGAGAAACTTCCGGGGTGTTCCACTTTCAGGTCGCTTCTGGAAAATACCCGTATAATCTATTTATAGCATACAAGCTGAAGGATGACATATATAAAACAAATCCCTCCAAAACCACAACCATATATTAAATCTGAGGCATTGCGTTTATTGCGGAAACCTGTGTAAGATTTTTATATGACATCGCAGTATCTTAATTCAATTTTCGGATCATAAATTGAGGATGTAGCCATTGTCTTATTAATCTGACAACATTCGTGTGTCTGACCACGAGTATACTTCCAAACATGACTATGGAACAATTCGAAACAGGACTTTTATTTATACATCTTCAGCTTACTAGTAATGTATTTTAGCCGTTATTGAAAGAAAACAAACCATTTCATCATTTTGTCGAGACTTAGTTTAAGATACGTATATTAAGCGTACAATTCCGAAAGAAGGAAAGCGTATGTCACAACTTGTGGCAATGTTATCATAAGCATACTATAAATAGCTCTCTTTCATTGCCGGTACATTGCAAAAGGTTACGTGTATATAAACATTAATCGCTTACTTACTGAGCTTACCCTTTAGAGATGTTCATGTAAATGTATTGAAAACAGTTCAATAGAGCACTAATCCAATAGGAATTCACGCATTAACAATCATTTATATATCTAATACAAAAATAGACTGTCTATTAATCAAACCACGTGTTGGTGAAATCATTGTTCATATCTTAACTATGTGGTACTTTTTTGTTCTTTGAATATCGAATTAGAATATAAAACATAACTAATGTAGTATAATTAATTTTTATATTAAGAATTAATTACATTTTTAAGCATATTATTTCCGTGAGCCTACACAAAGGATAAACAATAAATATATTATTTTCGTGAGCCTACACAAAGGATAACAATAAACATATTACTCTCTGAAGCCTACACATGGGATAAACAATAAATATCTTATTCTCGTGAGCCTACACAAAGAATAATTTAAGAAACAAAATACACTGTAATTTTGACAGCAGTTTTAACATTTGACAGGAACTGTTTTTGATTATGTGATTGATATTAGTCTATAAATAGAATCCATTTAATTACAGATTCCAGTTCAACACTATGATGATAGATGAAAGATCTTCAATGTGTCAAAATGATATTTTGGAAAAAGGACCTAAGAAATCAAAGATGACAGACCAGTCACGTCTGGCAAGTTTCTTTTCATACCCTTATACGTCTGAGGTAGGTGCCTTTGTGCTGGCAGAGGCAGGCTTTTATTACAAAGGACAAAATGATGCGGTAATTTGTCGTCATTGCGGACTCAAGTACAGTGGATGGCAAAAGGGGGATAATCCCAAATGCATACATTTGAAACAATCTCCCAAATGTTCATTCTTTCAAACAAGTAAATCTGAAACTGGTGTCTACGGATGCAGTTCTGAAAAAGGAAATATACTATTGTCTGGAGCAAATGGTGGACCGGAAGACATAGTGTCAGAGCGAAAATACGACACAGAGCATCACATAAAAAGCAAGACATATACCACGCAAATAAGTTTCCAGGAAACAAAGAGTACCCCTAAAGCGGTCACAGAAGTACAAACAGAAGAAAAGACATGTGTATCCGATCAAAATGTACCTGACAATGCTGTACATAGGGATGATAGGATACGTTTTAAGACAATTTACGATCCTTATAATGAAAATGAGGCGATAGAAGAACAACACGAAGCTGAACACTTTTTAAGGACGGAAGATTCGGCGACTACTACTGCTCCAATCGAGACACAAACAGTCGAATCACGTGTAGACAACACCAGGGAGGATTTGTCTGATTCTAACCATGTCTCTGAAGGTCATTCGGACACAACAGTTATCGAAACAACTACTGGACCGTTGGAGACGACCCGACCGAAGTATGAGCAGTTCTCTGTTCTCGCCACCCGTCTTAACTCATATAGACACTGGCCAAAACATCTCAAACAACGTCCCGAGGTCTTAGCAAAAGCTGGTCTGTTTTATGAAGGTAAGAAAACTGTGCTATCTTCAACACACTCAATTGTGTGGGAATTCATGACACATCAATTAGTGTATGAAACATGAAAAACATAACCCAAAATTTAATATTTACGGAGTGCTCAAACAGATAATAGCTTTACTATTGTGGTGTTTGGGATCTTTTACAAACATGACGAGTACCATATGTTTTTATTCAGTGGGTAATTTATTTCCCTGTAACAATATTTAAATACACATGAGACAGTATACAGAAACGAACGCGCCTAACAATACATTCATAAATGGACAATTAACATTGAAACGTACGATACTTTTTAAAAGCTATAAATTGATAAAACAATTACTTAGCTAAATAACCACATCAACAAGTATATATAGCAATTTACGAAAAGTTATAGTCTCCCGATAAATATAAAGAATGGAGCATTATTAATTATCAGCAGTAATATTAAGTTTAGCAATAGTTTAATTGACCTATAGCTTACCCTGTATAATCAGGTTGAAAGGTTATAGTTCTGTATGTATCTCAATTTCTGGAATTATGGCGATGTTGCCTCTGCGAGAAGCAGATAGGAAGTGAATAGAAAAGAAATGATAGAGAAGCGAAGAAAATATTAACGCGGGAAATATCACGAAATGCGACAGGTGTCAGAGGGCAGTTTGTCGCTAGCCAAACAGGTGTACACAACATTATACAAAGTAATATTAATTAGACTCAATATATTTCACCTGAATCCTAGGAATATAAAGAATTAAGATAAATTGACAAATGTAGCAGGTTGCAACACTTTCAACAAATATAATGAATCAATCGTGAAAAAATGACTGCAGTTCAAGTGTGTCTTTATCGTTAACAGACTTTATAGTTTTCATTTATCTTCACACTCAGGAACAAACGACTTCGTGAGATGCTTCCACTGCGCAGGCGGATTACGTGAATGGGACCCGGAAGATGATCCCTTTTATGAGCATGCGCGCTGGTTCCCTTTTTGTCCGTTCATGAGACTGATCAAGGGCGACAAGTACATTACGGGTGTCCAGTCTGGAACAATCAAACCACCTGATATACAGGTAAATATGTACATCAAATATCTACCTGATATACAGGTAATATATAGTTATCAGAAACCAATCAGAAAAGGAGATAGCACTTTACAAACATATCGATAAAAAACAAGAAATTTTGGGCGAAGTGTCAAATAAACCATAATGTCAGAATTCTTTGCTTTCTGCAAGCAGGCAATTTATGACAATGATGATTTGCAGACAAACAATATCACATTTCGTATATGCCAAGTTGTTATTGGTGTCGTTATATCCTATTTGTAGCCGGATTATAAACTAAAGTCAGGACAACGTAAAGAATCAAACTTGTTTGACCATCCGGCTGTACTTAGCATCATGGAGATGGGCTACAGTAAAACTATACTGACTAAAGCAATTACAATCTACAGGAAACGCCATGGTAAGTTATTATTATCGAACGAATTCTGAAAAAAACGCCCCTCAGAAGTATTTGTGACTTTTATCATTTTGATTAATTTTGGTCTAATACAATCGTTTCGTTTTCTGTTAATTGTTATTTCCACTGACTGTTTTATTTTTGTGCAATCATTTTTACTGGTTCAACCCTAGAAAAATAGATTAAAGTGTCGAAATCGGTTGCCTATAGTTTGGGAAATCCAACACAATGAAAACATGATACAATTAGTGTCAAAACGGTTTTCTATGTTTATTCTGATACAATAACCTTCTCAGAAATAATCATAACTTCTTATACCAGTTTCTGTTTTATTTGACCTCAATTTAATTATTTGTGTATATTGATTATATATTTGCTTGTTTAATCCTAGGAACGGACTTGAAAGCCGAAAAGTTATTGCCTATTGTCTGGGAAATCCAAGAAAATAACATGGACGTCATTACCGACGAGGAGATTTTTGAAATTGAACAGACAAAGGATAATGAAACAGAAACGCGATGTGAAAGTAAAAGTGATATAACGGAACTAGTTACGGCAGCGGAAAGTACCACTAAAGGTAATCAATGATGTCAAACTTGTAAAATTGTCTTTTTATGTAAGTGGCGAATGATTGATTTCTTTATCTCAAAATTATTGGGCTACTTAAACACATTTTAATATTCATGAGTGAAATGTAGCATAAGTAAACATATTGTATAATCAGGGTACTGTTTCCACAGGTATGGATGAACTAACAGAAGAAAATCGAGAACTTCGTGAACAGAAGATGTGTAAGGTGTGTCTCGACGAGGAGGTTAGTATTGTGTTCCTGCCTTGTGGACATTTGGTCACGTGTCCCATGTGTGCCTCGGCCTTACGGAAGTGTCCAGTTTGTCGGACTTACATCAGAGGCACGGTCAAGGCTATCCTATCGTAATCTACCGCCCCTGTTCCTTTTCTTTAGCACCAGAGACATTCTAACAGACATAGGTCTATTGAAGGTCCAGTTCACACTGCTAAATATAACCATCAGTGGTGAAGCAAACAAATTTTCGGAGTGTATGCTTACAGAGGGTTGAGCGTCCGAGGCACACAGCGCCGGAGGAGGGCCAGGGTGTGGGAAGAAAACAATTCTAATAGACCCTAGAAGCAGTCTCCCGTGCTCTGGGAGCTCCTTTAAGACTGATTATTAACAAGTATAACCCCATTTTTTTTTATCCTTTTTTATGATTGATACATGCGATCCATGTTAATCATAAAAAAGAAATTAATAAAAATATATGACTAAAAATTGAGCATACAGGCATACATGTATGCTACGCCGTGGCCACTGACATACGGTGTCGGTGTTCTCCGCCACTCATCATGTCTTTTATCCTACTACAACAAAGATTCAACCAACCTCACTGGAATGCGTTGCATTGCATACTACAGGAAAACCACGTCTATTATTTGTTGAACACGTGCTATGTTTCTAAAAATACTAAATATCATCACAAATTCGGTAATGAATCTATTATGGTTGCCGGAAATCCTGATTGAATGAGAATGTTGCCACTTCTCTGGTTTTGATATATTAGAGCTATCTAGTCCTCCATCAGCCTTAGTGTATTACTGATATGGTCATTAAGATGTTTATAAAAGATTCGGATGTCAAGGATATGATGTAACTGATGATGCATCAGTATCGTGTTTAAGGTGAAAATGACATGGAACTGTGAAGTAATTCGTACGGTAGCGGTGAAAATACACAGACCTGTTAACTCATTATAGTTACTGTAATATATTACACAATATCAATGTGAGCGTTTTATATCAAAAGTGAAAGAAAGGTGAAGTCAGTGTTACATAACTGATGTTAAAGTGGGGAATCCAGAGGATATTATTTGGTTTCAGCAAACAACCAAAGTCTTGTATGTTTTTTTCTCATTTTCCTAATTGGATTAACCTTTCCAATGAAAACTTGATTCCCTTCCCTGACGAATGGCGTTCGAATCTACCACTGTGCCGTATTTACTATGGGATTAATAACGCAGTTTCAGTGAAGACTGAATTTACCAATATCTGGGTTTATAATGAAAACGCTTTTCTTTATATCGGTAAGATATGATTGTAATTTTTTTAAATATGTATGAGTAATGTAATTCATGTATTTGAATTTTCTTCACATTGTATTTTGTATCATGTAGGCCCATAGCCTAAAGTTTGAATAAATATTGAATCTTGATGCTTGGTCGTTTTACACACTGTCGTAGTAAACCGAACGATTTTGTTTCCTGATGTCGGTAAAGTTAGACTTCATATATTTTCTATAACATGTGTCGTTATACAAAAGTTGAAATAGATATGTGGTGTTTGGGTTCTTTTACAAAACGATGAGTACAATTTGTCTTTGTTCAGTGGGTAATTTATTTCCCTGTAACAATATTAAAACAAATATGTGACAATATACAGAAACGAACTCTCCTAACAATACATTTACATATGGACAATTCACTTTGTAACGTACGATACTTTTTAAAAGCTGTACGGTTATAAAACAATTATTTAAAGAAGTAGCCTAGCAAACTATATATGAATATGGTTCACATAATACTAAGAATACAAGTAAACTACACTGAAGTATAATATCAGTGTTAAATAAGGAAAGTGTTCACTTAGCCAATAACCACACCCATGATTATATATGAGCAATTTACGGCAAGTTATAGCATTCCCAATAAATATAAATTATGGAGCATTAATATTAATCGGCATACATACTAAGTTTAGCAATAGCTTAGTTGACCAATAGCTTAGTTGACCAATATCTTAGTTGACCAATAGCTTAGTTGACCAATAGCTTACCCCGTATGTGGTACCGGGGATCCACTAGTACAATCATAGTGAAAGGTTTCAAGTTCTGTAAGTACATTGTATCTCTCTATTTTCTGCAAGGTGTATATCTATATGACGATGTTTCCTCTACCAGGACCAGATAGGAAGTGAATAGAACAGTAAGGACAGAGAAGCAAATAAAACACTAACGCGGGAAATATCGCACAATGCGACAGGTGTCAGAGGTCAGTTTGTCACTGGTCAAACAGGTATATAACAACATTCACAATTACGTCAAACTCACATACATTCCATTCAAAACGAAAGTAACACACGAGACTAGGCGACAGCGATTGCGGATGCGGAGCGAGGGTTAAGGATTAAATCAACGACACACCATTATACAAAGTAATACTAATTAGACTCAATATATTTTAGTGAATCTTTAGGAATATAAGGCAGCTAAGCAATTAGCTTAATTTATGCTCATAACACCATAACAAGTTTAAATTTGTTATCTAACTAATTTAATTGTGAGGGTTATTATAAGTTAGCAACATTAATATTACAATATTATGGAACAAGACACCTTAATGGTTTCTGAAAATATTGGAGGTTATTGATTGGCTGCTGATGACGTAAATCGGGATGCTGGCCCCTAATTGGTCAAGGTGACATGAGCGTCGCGTCCCTTTGTTCATAAGGCAGCCATCTTGCGAATCGTTATCATCAAATCTAACTTGATATTTAAATCCCACCCACTTCCGACCCTCTGTTTTTTTGGTCAATACAAAATTGACATTTTTTGTGATGTAACCATCAATAAGGCTGGCTAAGATGGCGTTTGCAATTTTTGTGGCAACTCCACTAGCTAAGGTTTTTAGTTAATTTTAATTTTATTTTTTATTTTAACATGTATAATTTGTAACCTGGCAGTTATTTTTTTATTGTAATATGTATAATTTGTAACCTGGCAGGTTGTTGCTAGTTTATGTTAAAGTGAGACAACACTTGCCGACTGGTCAGAGCATTGGGTAAACCTACCTCCCCTAATTAACAGGGTTGGGGCAGCCGGCTCGCAGTATATAATGTAAAGATGGGTTTGGCAACCTCACCTTCGGCGTTTTTTGGCAACCCCACTTAGGCTAGCTAAGGTTTTTAGTTATATTTTGATTGTAGTTGCTACCATGTTTGGTATTTTTGCAACCACTTTGTATAATCTTAAGTTTTTGATGGAAGCCACATTGACAAATCTAACAGGGTGCCACAGATATATCAAAGTAAACACGCAATCAAGGTTAGTTAAAAGAGAGGAATTGCGTATTCCGGAAGAAAACGTGTTAAAAAGATAGAATTAACACTTCATAAAGAATGAAGACCGCTGTCGTTGTGAAATGATGTTATCAGAAGTAAATGCCAATTACTAAATATGAAACTTCACGAGAATTTCTCAGGACGGCCGTTTGTAGATATAATTGTAAAGGTGGCCTCTGAAACAGAAAGTGGAAATCAGTACCATATCGTCTATTATTAACGAAGAATACTATGAACATGCACTAGTCAGATATTATTTTGTAACACAAAGTTCTACAAACATACATCAGTCAGATATATTATTTTGTAACACTGTGTATTATAGACATACATCAGTCCCTTCGGCGTTTTTTGGCAACCCCACTTAGGCTAGCTAACAGTCAGATATACTGTTTTGTAACACTGTATTATAAATATACATCAGTCAGATATAATAATTTGTAACACTGTGTATTATAAACATACATCAGTCAGATATACTGTTTTGTAACACTGTATTATAAATATACATCAGTCAGATATAATATTTTGTAACACTGTGTATTATAAATATACATCAGTCAAATATAATATTTTGTAACACTGTGTATTATAAATATACATCAGTCAGATATAATATTTTGTAACACGGAGTATTATAAATATACATCAGTCAGATATAGTATTTTGTAACACGGAGTATTATAAACATACATCAGTCAGATATAATATTTTGTAACACGGAGTATTATAAATATACATCAGTCAGATATACTATTTTGTAACACGGAGTATTATAGACATACATCAGTCAGATATACTATTTTGTAACACGGAGTATTATAAATATACATCAGTCAGATATAATATTTTGTAACACGGAGTATTATAGACATTCATCAGTCAGATATACTATTTTGTAACACGGAGGATTATAAATATACATCAGTCAGATATAATATTATGTAACACGGAGTATTATAGACATACACCAGTCAGATATAATATTTTGTAACACTGTGTATTATAAACATACAACAGTCAGATATACTATTTTGTAACACGGTGTATTATAGACATACACCAGTCAGATATAATATTTTGTAACACTGTGTATTATAAACATACATCAGTCAGATATACTATTTTGTAACACGGAGTATTATAAACATACATCAGTCAGATATATTATTTTGTAACACTGTGTACTACTATTCTAACGGCTCGGGCACTATACCTCCCCAGACGACACTATAAGAGAACAGTTCCCTCGGAAAAGGGTCATAATAGATTTAGTACATCACATGACTGTCATTCTCTGCCACATGATGGTTCTTGTAAATGCCACCGAAAACCTTGCCTTATTGCGTATATTGGCATAGAAATCCACCAAAACACCGTTCAATTCACTGGATTGAATCACCGCTAAGTCACATACGGTTTCCCTTTCCAGTAGGAAGTCTTTAAGGACTGCGACGGCAAGTTGTGTCGCCTGCTTCGTCTTTATGCATTGCTGAGCTTCTACGAAGCAATCGGCATTCCCGGTCCCGAATATCGAAGCCATTATTGCAGACTACAACAATGAATTGAAAGTAGAATATGTACAGCGCTCCCTAGGAGAAGGGGCACCACTCTTAGCGTCACGCTACTAAAAAGGTATATCCTAGAAATTATCATGTGATGTACTAAAAACATACATCAGTCAGATATAATATTTTGTAACACGGAGTATTATAAACATACATCAGTCAGATGTATTATTTTGCAACATTGTGTATACTATAAGCATGGATCAGTCACATGCGTTCTGTTTTAAACAAGATACATGTAATTAAAAAGCATGGATCAATGATATGGAAAATCCTTTTTGACATTTCTTCATCTGTTGAATATATTCATAGATATCACATGAATTCCTCAAACGTATCATGTATATGCTAAAACAACCTCTTATTCAGTACTTCAGAATAATATGTAAAACACAGATTTCCCGTAAATAGAAATTTAAACCGTAAAGTGAATCATGTATTCAAATACCAGCCTCAGGAAGTCTAAATAGGAACATTATATGAAAGAAAACACATTTTCAGTCCAGCACTATAAAAATAAAAAAAGCATTTGTTCATTTCGGGCATTCATACATCACGATCAGTAGTACATAAGGGGTAAATATTTACAATTTACAGAAATGTGTTGTACGTGTTCCTACTGTTATATACAACCGTGACCAGACCTAGTTGTTCTTAGCCACCAAGAAGTGTCATGTCGCATGATAAAATGATGAGTAATTTTCATGTCTTATTATAAAGTGACGCAACAAATTAAAATACATCCTCAAGACTCATGTCCTGATTTTTGTGTCTTAGCAGATCAAGTTGTTTTTCCGGATCGGTAATTCCTCGGGTAAGTACGCATGGTAGCGTCAGTATAATTGACGTCGGTTGTACATCCGGGCCACAAACTTGCATCTACCGGCCTGTCCTTTAAGTCTAGCGCCGTAACTCCGGACAGTGACATCACGATCCTGTCGCATATTGTGTAGCGTCACTCTTGCAACCATAGTGTTTTCCTCACGTACCGAGAGCTTTTTAATTGCAGCTAAAACCTCATCCACAGTTTTGTCAGGGAGACTAACACCGGCTGATCGTGTCAAGTCTTTCCGTAATGGTTCGTCACAGCATTCTAGTAGCTGGATTACTTTATCTCGTCCAGTGATTTTCGTGGCACTGACATAGTCCGACCACCGATATCGGAAATATGCCCACCCCTCGCTAGATCCTGCGGCACTGAGCGTGGGTCGGTTAACTTTCTCAACTGAAATTATACAACTTTGAGGAAATTCTTACTATGTTGAGAGCTGATTGTGAAATAATAATGTTGGGTGATTTTAATATTTGTTGGAATCATAAAGAAAATCAGATGTATAAAACTTATCACACCATATTACATATGTTTGGATTTCATCAAATCATTCATGAAGATGCAATAATTACAAATAACGGATGTACCCTGTTAAATCTCATTCTTTGTAATGACAAAGACAGAATCTGCCAGTCTGGAACTATCTCAATTGGTTTAAGTGATCACTTTCTTACTTATTGTACAAGGAAAGTCACTAGAGGCTCAATTAAGAAACGCAATACAGTGAAAATAAGTTCTACAAATTACAACACAGATCTCTTCAAAGAAAAACTTCTTAATGCCAATTGAGAAGAATGATTTTGTGATCAGAGTCAGGAGGAATCTTGGACAAAATTTAGAGAAATATTTATGAAAGTTTTGGATATTGTAGCTCCAGTCAAAGAAATCAGACTGAAGCAGAGAACTGAACCATGGATGAACTCAGAAATTTTAGAGAATTTTCGTTTGAGAGATAAAAATTTTGCATCAATATAAAAAACACAATGAGAGTCCGACTACAATTTTTTTTTCTACTTCGAAATAAGATCCAAAGAGAAATCAAAAAATCAAAATCAGACTTTTTTTCAAAACAAGATCGAAGAAAATTGTAACAAACCCAAAAAACAGTGGCAACATTTGAAAGACCTAGGATATCAAAAAGAAAAAAAATCCAACTCCAAGATTGTCTTAAATATTGAGGATAAAAGCTGTTTTGACGGTCATACTAAAGCCAATTTTTTTCAGTAACTTTTCACTACCATTGTCTCAAGCTTAGTTAGTAGACTACCCGATCCAAAGAACACTTTTAATTTTGGCTTAGATATTTTTTTTTTTATTTTTTTACCAAACTAGAAATACTAGAAATGTAAGTTTTCATCTGAAAAATATTTCTGAAGATTTTGTTCGTAGAGAACTTTGCAATATCAACCCTTACAAAAACACCGGTCTGGACGGAATACCTGCTAGATTTTTGAAGGACGGAGCTGATGTATTGAAAATTCCTATTACTTTTATCATTAATACATCTATAAGTACTGGATCAGTACCCGATGAACTCAAGTAAGCAATAGTAAAACCTTTATTCAAGAAAAAAGATAAACTTCAAGTTGAAAATTACAGACCTGTGAGCATACTATGCAGTTACCAAAATTCTTGAAAAAAAGGTCTACGTCCAACTGGAACATTCCTAGTTTCTAATAATATACTCTATGAGTTACAATCTGGATTCAGAAGTTGTTATTCTACAGACACTTGTTAAAATTATCTATTTGATCATATTTAAACAACCTGCTAAGGGATTATTCACAGGTATAATAATGCTTGACCTGCAGAAAGCTTTCGACACAGTCGATCACCATATACTTTGTAACAAATTGGAAATTATGAGAGTTAAATCTGTTGAATGAGTCCAGTCTTATCTGCAAAATAGAAAACAAGTTGTTTATGTAAATGGAGTAAAATCTAAAGAAGCTGAAGTTGATTGTGGAGTTCCTCAAGGGAGTATTTTAGGCTCTTTATTATTTATAACTTATGTAAATGACATGCAAATCAGTATAGATCCTGCTTGCAAACTTATTTTATATGCTGATGACAGTACATTCTCTTTTCTCACTCTGACCCAAAATTTATATCTACCAAATTGAGCCAAGTTCTAGAATCATGTTTAGATTGGCTAGTTGATAACAAACTGTCATTACATCTCGGAAAAACTGAATGTATCCTCTTTGGAACTAAGAGAAAGCTAAAAATGGTGAACATTATTTGTAATGGTCATACTATTCTGATGCAACCCTTCGTCGATTATCTTGATTTGTCGATTGAATTCTTTTTATCTGGTGAATGTATAGGCAAACAAGTTCTCTTCCACTATCCACCAGGAAAATATTATGCTCAGCTATAATACAGTGTCATTTTGATTACTCTTGCTCATCCTGGTACTCTGGTTTAACTAAAAACTAAAACAAAGACTGCAGGTTTCACAAAATAAAGTTATTAGATTTATTCTTAAATTAGATTTCCAGAATGGGTTACAATGAATTCTCTAGTCTAAATATGCTTAATGTTAGTAACAGAGTAAAACAACTCAGAGTAAACCATGCTTTTAATATTTTAAATGACAAATGCCCCTCCTATTTAAAACATAATTCAAAAGGCTAACAGAACTGCAGCAACACTATACAAGATCTAGTGAATACAATTTTTTATATTCCAAATGTGAGCGGGACAGAATCTACCACGTTTTATTAAAATGCTGCTAAAGATTGGAATTGTATTAACGTAATATGTTCTATATATATGTTTGTGTATGTAAATATGGGAGTGTGTACACAATATGGGTGCTGTACTTCAATGCAATGTGTTTTAAGTTACAACCTATATCTTAACATACAAGCATATATACATTAATTCAACTACTTACTTGTGAGAATGTATCCGACATTCGAAATCTTGGCAAATTTGTAATACAAGCAAACAAAAGGAGATATGAGCTGATTGCTGGTTAGTGTTCACTCTCCACGGTGTGTGTGTGTGTGTGTGGAGGCGTGTGTATGTGTGTGTGTATCATATTGTATGTTGTCTCTGTATTGTTTTGTATATATGTTATAACTGATAAGTCAACCGACTTAAAGTAAGTAAGAACTTGAACTTAAACTTGAACATCAGTTTCAACATAAAATTATCTTCAAAATATAATAACTATAGTAATTTTTATTTAGGTAGTGTTTATGTGTCTTTTAATGGACCCCAGTGGAAATGGGCTTCAGGGCTTTCTGGGTAATCCTGGTTTTAAGGGCAACATATGTTTTAGTTATTTCATTTTTCGTAGGAATAACCATTACCTATCTTGTAATTTATAAAAGTATGATAACTTTTTTTAGAGACTTATATATAATTTTACATTAACATGTTTTATAATGTAATCAGCCATATACATTATTAGTGCCAAAACATGTATTGGTTACTGTATGAAATTGTTATATATGTTGTTGTACCTTTTTACCAAATAAACTTGAATTGTTCTCGTTTGGGTATGTGTACAGCGGAGTGAGCCGTGATGAGTGCCGCGACGATAGTGGCATCCAGGTCATCCGTGACATAGTTGCAGTCTGTGATAGGGCAGGCTACAGCTGGCATTGTGGTTTCACACCGTGTTCATAAATGGGACTCTGTTCCGTTTACTTTAACAGATGTTTATTCAGCAATGAACAGGGTCTGAAAAGACACACAAAGTAAAGGTACATTGCACAATAATAAATAAATTGAATTACGTATAGAAACTAATCATAACATACAATCCTCTAAAAACAACTTATATTTAATGTGTTTTTATGATTATTATTCCATATTCAAATTTGCATTTTTTTGGTATTTCAGTATGATTATTTAATAGCTGGGGATATATGAGTTAAATGGCAGACACTGCTCTACAAAGTGTATGAAAATAGAGAAATATCAATGCATTATTGTATTTCGGACAGAACACTCCAGTATATAGATATTAATACTCAATCATTGTCAATATCGTGAGTAAATTGTACTTCAATAAAACGTATATACACCACATAGAGAATTGTGATTTATCATTTTGCTGCCAAATACATCTCTCAATATTTTAATTATAAGTATTAAAATGCACAGTAACAGTGGTGACATCCCAATGTCGTTTATTGATATATCGGGAATAAAAACCATATGGAGTAGTTTTATAATTTTCAATCTATTTCATATTATATGTTCTGTTATTGTTACGTTTTATGGTCTCCAAATGTATGTCCCGGTATAATTAACAAATCTTGAATGAGTTTCCACAATGTTTAATTATTGAATGCTGTAACGACTACCAAAGAGAAACTGTTATCTTTATTATTATCTGAATTGATCATTTCAAACTATATCTGTAATATACAAGTTTAGACATTTTCACTTTTAGACTCGCCAGTTAATACTTTATTATACATAGTGAAGGAATGTACGAAAATAGCTAGCAAAATCCGCCAAATAACACGTAAGCTATTCTAAAATCTCAAAATAAATATGACCGAGCACAGAATATAGGCATTTACGTGTATTCGTAAACGTAAACGAAAGAGAAAATACCACTGACGAATCAGAACGTATAGAGAGTACACTGAATAGAGAGAATGACATATACATTGTATCAAGTCTACAAGTGACCGTGATGATAGAGAGGACATATACATTGTATCAAGTCTTCAAGTTACCGTGATGATAGAGAGAAGGACATATGCATTGTATCAAGTCTACAAATTACCGTGCTGATAGAGAGAAGGACATATACATTGTATCAAGTCTACAAGTTACCGTGATGATAGAGAGAATGACATATACATTGTATCAATTCTACAAGTTACCGTGATGATAGAGAGAAGGACATATACATTGTATCAAGCCTACAAGTTACCGTGATGATAGAGAGAAGCACATATACATTGTATCAATTCTACAAGTTACCGTGATGATAGAGAGAAGGACATATACATTGTATAAAGACTACAAGTTACCGTGATGATAAAGAGAAGAACATATACATTGTAATTGTATCAATTCTACAAGTTATCGTGATGATGGGATCGGGATTGGACTATACAATGACGTGCCGAATTAACGTGAGTTATAAACATTACATTGATTTCTAAACCCTTCCAAGTCACATAGTCAGGTAGAATGGTTAACAATTGTTTTTAATCTTATATTTGCTGATAAATGTAGCACTTGGTACAATATCTTTTATCTAATACACCTAAATTCCCCTGGCTTCGCCACCAGTTCATGATGATTTCCTTTTTGTTTGTTTTGGTATATCCCCAGTTCCAATTATTTACTGGTCATTGATACTGTTGTGTATATTTGGGATATAGTAAATTATGACGTCATTTTGTTGACGTCGCAAGTAGTTGCTTTATTATGATGACCCAATCGAACTAAATCTGAAGGGTTACAATATGGGCAAAATTACTTCAAGAATTGCTCTATGCGTTTTGATTTGATACCATCATTACTTTGATATCAGCGTAAATTGTATTTAGATCGTTTGTTCCTGTTTAAGTGTGTGAATAGTATGTTCGACTGTCCATATCTTATAAAGCAAATCAATGTAATAGTTCCAGACAGGTTTGTTAGGTCAAACTGCGCAGTTCGATTTTATCCCATCACGAGTTGAAATGATGTAAAGAAACAGTGTTTTAATGAGGTGTCAGAACAATTGTATCTTCCTCAATGTTCAGCCTACTAGACTTTTTAGCGGATCAATGAACAAGTGTAAACAGAAGTGAAACATGTCTGTTTCAACCATATCACGTAGTCCAATGTTATTTTATATACCATGTATTTATGTGTGATAACTTAAAAAGTCTTTTTCATATTTGTATTCCTCCAAACATGAACAGTTATATGAAATACATATTTTAAGAAAATAGATATAAGAAAATTAATACAGTTACAAAATAAAGTATAATGACTGAAAAAATAAGCTAATTGAATGATGCAAACTTATACATTTAACGATTGCATAGCCTTCAACCAGTATAATACAAAAAGGTTATTTACAGGAACTCATGTATTATTGGAAGGTAAGAGCAGAAGCTATCTCTGCAAAAATGCAACAGTCTCGTATAAAAGACAAGAAAAGATCGTCGTCTTCTTCAAAAATATCTCGAAACAGATCAGGAGGAGAGCCAAGAAACGTTGCTATTTGAATATCCCGACTCGCCTGGTCCAGTGCAACGTAAGCATGAACAGGGTATTCGTTGACAATTTTGGAGAAGATGTTATCGCGTAAAGCTAACACTTCTTCCCCAGAGCAGTCCAAGAAACAATGTGCAACAGCATCGGCTAAAAACACATTGCATTGTGCACATGCTAATTCACAATCTGGAGAAATAATCCAGAGCTTTGCAACATTAGCGCATGTTCTACAAAAGTAGGAAAAACGTATAGATAAAAACCAAATAGTCGAAAAACAGATATCATATTGCAGATACATAAATCTAGAAAAGTCTCTCCACTCATAAGTGTACAGGAATTACGAATTAGAACACCCTTCGTTAGACATTTCCATGATTGTTTAGGAGGAAGAAATCCTTTTTGGAGGAAGGCCAACAATACATCATGTAATTCATATTTATGAAAGATTTTCCAAATATCTGAAACAAAACCTTTTCCACCTTGAAAAAATCCATAATATGTGTGAAAAAGACGAAACATAAAATTCTCTTTGCAGTAAATCGTGTATCTAGTCTACATAAAGCAGCAAAAAAGCGGAGATTGAATAATTCAACCTCGAGGTGTATTGAGGTAAGGCCTAACATACTGAGAGAGATATCTGATCGTGTGCGACGGGGAAAACTTTGAATGAGCTTTGTACATAAGTGATGTACAGTTTCAATACGAGACACATCAGTTTCTGTTAGAGAAAACTAAAGTTCACAGCCAAAGAGGCTTCTAGGCAAAACAATAGACTTATATAACTTTGTACCTGTCATTGGATTGATCCCAGTACCGAAAAGGTTACAATGTAGTAGTGCAAAACATTGACTACGTAGCTTGTTAACAATCTCATTGATGTCTGGACAGCCAGGTTTGAATTTGTTTAAGAAGATGCCGACGTGTTATTCCAGGTTTCGGAATAAATATCTGCAAAATTCTTTCCCCAGTGAAAGGCTAGGCTAGCAGGATCTCCGATAACTTCATCATTAAATTTCATTTCAGCTCCAGCAAACCCCGAAATGTTAGTACAACGTTTTCTAACAAGAGACCAGAACGTCTTTTGATTAACACCAACATAACATTCAATTTCGTTGTTTAAGTCTACAATGTGATCCTCTGATACCTGTCTATGTCTGTTCCTAAATAAGCGTTTCGCATCTTTGTAGTTTCTAAATGTGACCGAGTTCGTCTCACGCGGTCGACCTTTAGAGACCAAAACCTGACATCTCCACAGGTTTTGTTGAAGATCTTTTAGTTTGTTGTTCTAATAGGGTTTTAAAAATTTGTAAAATTTACGTTTCGTCAAGGTACAATCTGATGATTTCAGTAAACATGTCACAAGCTCGCTTGAGTATTTATCAACTTCATCTTTAGTATCAAGACTCAGTAAGGTATTCAAAGAGGAACCGTTGATACGTGCAACAAGATCGTCCCGGTAGTTGTCAACATTTTTGGAGGCTCCCGCGGCGATCCACTTAAACGAAATGCGTGTGTGTTTATCACAATCATTTTCACCAGAAACCGAATCAGGATAAAACAGTTCACACACCAACGGCCTATGGTTTGACACGTCAAGATAATCGCCATTCAAAATGAAACATTCACTCACGAGGTCTTATTTAGATGAGTTGATGATAATATGATATATAAGGGAGGATGGACCATCTTCGGAATGAACAAATGAATGTAATGGACCTTTACAGAGGCTACAGATTGACAGCGTAAACAACTGTAAACGGTCAAGGCAATTTTGAAGAAGCCTGCCGCGTTGGTTTTGATAACCGGGAATACGCGAGCCATGTAAGCGGACATTGAAATCCCCCATGACAATTACAGATCCATACAGGGAAAATATCGTGTACAGCTCGTCAAGCTTTTTTATGTATTTATTAAATAAGTCCGTGCCATATATTGATGTAGGGAGATACATTTGAAGAACATGGAGTGTTTCAACATCTAGGACGAGTTTGATAATAGCAATCCTATCATCATTAGAATCCACGATCGAAACGATCATTAAGTCTCTTATGCCTCAGAGCAACACTTCCTTTTCGAGATCGATGATCGGCTAGTGGATGAAAGGAAAAGTCTGCAATTGCTAAGGAGTTATAGTTCTGGTGAATACTCTTGAATAGATGTAGATTTTCTTTGAAAAGCCAGTGTTCCGCTCTTCCACAAATGTCAACGCGTTCCCTGTTTAATGCTTCGTGAATATGAGAGGCAGCCGACATTATGCCAGTTACGTTCCACGACATGAATCGAATGTTCGACACAACGAGGAGGAGGATATGCAACAGGCGAAGAACGGCAAATCTATTCGATCCCACCGTCGAGTTTATAGGTATTATCGTTACCGTAGAACCGGTTTTTAGAGACGCATTTCCGGCATCGGATACCTTTTGGCCAAAAGTTGTCCTCTTTCGTTTTGGGGATATCAGATGAAATGACGTTAACCCGTGCAGAGACGCAAAGCTTCCGTTGGCTCCTAAGGAGGCGAACAAATGTGGCATTGACACCGCGAGTTTGTAGGTAAAAATGTATATCATCCGCTGAACACGATTCTGACGACATACCGCTAAGAAAAAGGCGCGTAGTTGTATGCCGGGAAACAGCTACGAAACCACTGGATGAAAACTCTTGAATAGATGTAGATTTTCTTTGAAAAGCCAGTGTTCCGCTCTTCCACAAATGTCAACGCGTTCCCTGTTTATATATGAATATGTGAATATGAGAGGCAGCCGACATTATGCCAGTTACGTTCCGCGACATAAAGCGAGGGTTTCTCGAACAGGACGGGATGAGTGGTAAAGTTGAGGTGGATGGAAGCTGTGACGACCGAGATAAATTTCGGTGATGAGATTTACTTAAATACGTTGGAGTTGAGGAATCATCACTAGTTACAGATGTTAAAGCAACTTCCAGCGGTGTTGACTTGTTACATTATAGGCTTTGATCTGACGCCTGTTGACTGGAAATCGGAAAACCGGGATTGATTCGAGTCGGTGTGACTGAATTGTGATGGGTGGAAGACGGGAAAGAGCGTGGAGTAGTCGGTATTGGTAAGCCTTTCTCCTTCGGACGTAAGTTGAAGCTGTCATAAGTTCCTCAAATTTTGTTAATTGGGACCCAAGTTCCTCTGCAAAAGCTCTAACGGCAATGTCTGTTGTTTACTTAGCTTTTCCTGCGGTTTTTTTTTTATGTCAGACTCAACTTGCCGCATGCGCGATTTCAGAGATGACACTCCACTTACAGCAGATCTAGAGGACGCGTTGGATATAGCTGTCTGTACGTCACCCTCAAAGACGGCAAGTTGTCCGTTTATATCACGAACGTCGTTGTGAATGGCTGAGGTATTACCAAAGCGGTCATCGTTCAGACGCGAAATTCCACAACTATTGTCGTCGATCGAATTTGAAATATTAGTGATTTTCAAGGCTGTCGACTTCCTGAATTTCGCTAGAGACACCAGTTTTGAAGTCAGGCGGTGGATACTCTCGACAAAATACGCCCTGGGAACTGTTTTGGAATGGTCAATATCGAAGACTTTATCAATAGACTCACATGCCTTACTCAGCTGAGTTTTTAGAAACGACATATCATGGTCCAATTTCTTTTGAAGCTCTTCCGCCGAGTCTATACGGAGTTTTGAGGTCTCTCTCGATTCATGAAGTATTGTCCGAAGGTTCACTAGCTCCAGCTGAAGAGAATCATACTCGGAGCGGGAGACGGGGGCAGACTCACCCATGATGTTGCCCGAGCAGTCCATTACTGAGGTATCAAGCTGACTATTTGTTCTAGTAAGTCTTTGCGAAGAGAAGATATCTGCTATCTCGCTTACGGACTCGCCGTCTATAAATTGATTTAATTAAAGCATAGCAGTCTTTCGCATACTTCATATAGGCTGGGCCCTTTGAAATTTTCTTACGTGCAAAAAGCGAAACGACAGGACACCCCTCAATATCCTTTGCGTGATCGAAAAGAATAGCCCGATATCAGACAATTTTACTTTCCGAGTTAGTGGCAATATCAACTACTTTGGCAATGTACTAATTTTTTGGAAGCTTGAATAAGGAATGGTCAAACGACGTAGCAGTAAGGTTCGGTTCACGTATTAGCTCACCATTTGACGCCATGGCCAGATCGTATGTGCTATAACTAAATGTTTATTCCTAAACCAGCACACTCATAAGGAACCACATCGCAATGTTTACAGCCAGCAAAGCTCATACAATGAGCACTACGCAGATTGACCTTACAAACCTGTCTGGAACCATTACATTGATTTCTTTATAAGATATGGACAGTCGAACATACTATTCACACACTTAAACAGGAACAAACGATCTAAATACAATTTACGCTGATATCAAGGTAATGATGTATCAAATAAAAACTCATAGAGCAATTCTTGAAGTAATTTTGCCCATTTTGTAACCCTTCAGATTTAGTTCGATTGGGACATCATAATAAAGCAACTACTTGGGACATCAACGAAATGACGTCATAATAAACTTTTTCACAAATATTAACAACACTTTCAATGACTTGGAACCGGGGGTATACCAAAACTAAAAGGAAAACATCATGAACTGGTGGCGAAGCCAGGGTAATTTAGGTGTATTAGATAAAAGATATTGCATCAAGTGATACATTTACCAGCAAATATAAGATGTTTCAACCATTTCACGTAGTCCAATGTTATTTTATATACCATGTATTTATGTGTGATTATTTAAAAAGTCTTTGTATTTAGTCTGTAATGTTGTGACATGTATTTTATATGTAACCTTTTATTTGTTATTAAACTTAGTAGTGGGCCTTTTGGTTTGTCGGAGTGAAAGAAATAAATCTTTAATTTTCATTTTGGTAACTGAATAATTGAATCCCATCAAGAGATAAGTGACAAGATAAAATAAAAACACATATTTCAAAAGCAAGTACAACATTAATACAGCCATTACGGATTGTCTTTGCAACATTTCTTTGAAGTTCGGGATGCTACTATGTTTGTGTATGTGACAAAGGCCGTTTCCCACAGGTACCGCACTTGAACTGACCCATTGTGTATACATTGTGTAGTTTAGACCAAATGCCCTATGCTTTTTGGGTTTGAGGCTACATGTAATTTACTTGTTTCTTTGATCAATCGGTTCGTCATGACAGAGGGACATATAGTCGGTGAATTGAAAAAAGTTATACGTAGTGCTTTTTAGGCATACTAATGGAGGTGTAATCGAAGGAATTACTCTATTTGTATAATAAACACCCTTTTCACATTTATGAATGCAATGTAATCTATATGAATACAATTATCATTTGTTGTTGTGTTATATTTATATTAGTTGACGTCATATATAAAAAAACACAACATGAAAATGAAATACTGTAATATGTCGAAACGTTTTTACTGCTTCCGTGATTACTCTATTTGTATAATAAACACCCTTTTCACATTTATGAATGCAATGTAATCTATATGAATACAATTATCATTTGTTGTTGTGTTATATTTATATTAGTTGACGTCATATATAAAAAAACACAACATGAAAATGAAATACTGTAATATGTCGAAACGTTTTTACTGCTTCCGTGATTACTCTATTTGTATAATAAACACCCTTTTCACATTTATGAATGCAATGTAATCTATATGAATACAATTATCATTTGTTGTTGTGTTATATTTATATTAGTTGACGTCATATATAAAAAAACACAACATGAAAATGAAATACTGTAATATGTCGAAACGTTTTTACTGCTTCCGTGTATTGACGACGTTCCACAATATAAAGTTCCGAGAAAGTAAATACATCCCTGAAAGAACGATAATTCATAGCATACTTACGTGTTGTAGATCCCAAACTCCAAGTGCAGCATCTCAGTCATGACAAACGACGCCAATTCATTTATGGAGGAAAGATTGAATGTGATCAATTTCTAGTTCTAGTTCTAGTTCTTTATAGCTTTAAGTCGGTTGACTTCTCAGTTATAACATATATACAAAACAATACAGAGACAACATACAATATGATACACACACACATACACACACACATACCGTGGAGAGTGAACACTAACCAGCAATCAGCTCAGATCTCCTGTTTGCGTGTATTAAAAATTTGCCCAGATTTCTAATGTCGGATACATTCTTACATGCTTGTATGTCTTACATAATATTTCTTAATTAGTTTCAACCTTATAGACATTTTAAAATAAAATGGAACTCATCCTCCACATCATTCAGGTCACATACTGTCCACAATCTGTTTTGTCTTTCAGTTCTATTATATCTGCCACACTCAATATTTAACTTATGTGCAGACATTCGAATTTTACATATTTGTTTTAAATAATTTATATTTACAGGTTTTGATAAATAGTACTGGTGACCAAAATTACACATGTTGATACAATGCTCCTTTAGGAGAAGATTGGATATTTTTTCAAAACATTCTTGTCTGAATATGTCACAAAGACATTCTTTTATGATATGAAAGTGCCATTATTTAAACAATAGACATTACAAAGTTCTGATAAAGTTCTTACAATTGAAATAAAAAATTTCAGTGAAATAATACATCTTTGTGTCATATTGTTTACATTGAGACAACTCGTCCCCTATACAATGCACACATATTTTGATACGAGACCACTCGCCCAATTATACACTGTTCAGTTATACTGTATTAGTCAATTACTCACTTAAAGACACATATATTCTTTACTTATTAATGTCAACTTAACCTATTTGCATTGATAGATAACATGTTTATCATAGAAACATTACATATGAATCTAAACAAACAAATAGTGTGCTAATCCACGTAGTGCCTACGGAGCAATCTGCATGCGGCGAGGTAAATAAACAGTACGCGTTCCCGACAGATAACCAAATACATCATACATCAAATTAAGCAATAGTTACCGTATCGTTTCCTCTCTAACTGCATTAAAGAATCTTTTTTTCTTTTCATCGTCCATCCCAAAATACCAAAAGGATCAAATAAATATAAAACCAAATCCGGAGCGACTATTTTTGTAACATGAACTATGAATAGGAACCAATACGTGTAGTGCTGCACGGGTCTGAGGTACAGTGAACCCTGACTCATGGTCACATGATTGTTTACGTCATTAGTGGGGACTGCCAATCTATATATATATTAAAGCCAGTACAATCTAGAGGATACCGGAACTCTTAACAATTGGCTATATTTAGAATCCGTGTATAAAAACCGAGACTCGGTAAACTACTAGCAAAATTTCCAGGTTACTTCATACAGACACTGTAAGTTTTTCTTTTCTTTATAGTCTAGTTTTAAATATTTTGTAATACGCTCAGTATGATAAATATAACCATTGGGTCTGAACTATAAAATAGATATTTCCTATGTGTATAGTATTCTATGACTGGTGCTGGTAAAAAGTGCGATAATATATAACTAATGTTAACGTTAGGACACACTGCAATAGCGTTAATCCTCTCTCAAATACTACTTTCAAGTGCAAATTCTGTTTTCTTTTTTATTACAAAGTCATTATAGTTTGGTAAAAATAAACGCTTATCTTTCTTCTATCAAAGTGCAACTTTATACACAAACAATAAAACGTGTCTCAACCACGGACTTAGATAGCTAATTCCGTGTCTCAACATTGCAAGACCGACAGTAGTGCGACTTTCATCTGGCCCAGACACCAGACATGTTGCCGGATTGATGTCAACATGTCTAAGTCTGGTGTTAGGGCCAGAGGGTCTAGACCGACTGGTCTCTTTGTCAAGCTATGACTGTGTGACTGATTTGTATTGTTGTAAACTTTAAATGTCACTAGACGAACGGACGTTTCGGCTATCGATATAAAATGTTTACACTCTAGATCTGTGTCGAATATGTTATTTGTTGGGTGCAGCCTAGTGGGTCAAACAGATTAGTCACATCGTTTACATGTAAACACATCCTCGATATCCAGGGGTTACGCTCACTTCACTACTGCCCGTAGAGAGCGAAAGTGAGCGTAACCCCTGGATATCGAGGATGATGTAAACATTGCAAATCACTCACCGAGTCATACGTTTTTTACGTGTACATATATATTGTTTGTGTATAAAATAAAATTTAGCTATTTTATATTCCAAATTGAACAAAAAGTTTTCTTGAAGAACTGTTCCTATTTATTTCTTATTATCGTGTTTTAAACATACGCTATCATAATTTATGACTTGTACATATTGTTTACAATACCTCATATAAAGTTTGCACTTAAATTTACAGGATAATACGCAATAAAACCATGATGGGTGGATCAACCAATAATGTTAAAATCATATCATCGATCCATCACCATGGACTTCACTCGTGTAAACCATTCAATGTGATAACCTTAATCTATAGGGTATTTGAGAGGTACAAGGTAAGTTTGCAGTTTAGCCTACTTGTATTGAATCGCACGACCGAATTGTTGATCAAATAATACATTTTCTTGCTCTTTTGAACCGTTTCCGAACATAAATCGTGGTTAACATATTGTATAATGAGCACCGCAAGTTCTTTCAAATATAAACTTGACCAGCAACCTGTAAAAGCAGAATTTTGTGCGAGTGGGAATGAAAAATACATCTCGGTGTGCAAAATTATCGCCACGACATTGTTTTTAATATATATAATTAATATGTTCTATAAATACACATTTGCATGTGGATATTTTCTATACTCAATATGCGAAACTAGTGAGTATTGCCACATCGGGAAAAATTCTACTTTTACAAATATAACCATAGTGAACCATTTTACATCGGTATTATTGCAGCGGTATAATGCCCATTGGATTGCATAACACAGTGCAATGTTTACCAATAAAACATTAAGAGTAGGTATCTACATACAGTAGACGAATGAAATTATATAACTTTGTTGTGTATGCAATAATAGTATATAGATCTCATAAGTAAAAACGACAGTATGATCCACGTATTGACACTTGATCCGAACAAACCAATATTGGCTGGAAACATAGTTCTTAAATATATATACGAGCATTGAAAAAATAACGAAAGTACAGACAAAAGAATTTGCAGTATTTTTATAAGTGTTACTGGATTGTATATATATGATAGAAATATCCAACCGAAGCGTATAGAATATGGGCGATAACCGAGGCTTACCAAGGTTTTTGAACTCAAATTGTATACCCGAGAGTAGGACATTTCTATCATACAATAGTTATGTTATACCCGAGGGTAGGACATTTCTATCATACAGTAGTTATGTTATACCCGAGAGTAGGACATTTCTATCATACAATAGTTTTGTTATACCCGAGAGTAGGACATTTCTATCATACAACAGTTTTGTTATACCCGAAAGTAGGACATTTCTATCATACAATAGTTATGTTATGTTGTGTAGCTGCCATCTTGTGGCAAAATATCAACTTGAATGATGAACTAATTTATGAAAAACATCTATACCACTGAAAAGAGCACAATACAATTAGGTTAATACTTTCTTTGGTCTATAAACGACTCGGCAATAATTGCGGATACAATAGTTGACATGGAAAATTGTGATTTTAGCAAAATCAATTAAAATGACGTCAAACTTGCCGCGTCATGATGTCATCTAATTGTTTTTGCCCTGTGACGTCATTCCCATTTAAGATGGATTGAGCTCAAATGTTTTCTCCATTGAGAGGAAAGTATATCTTTTATGGATGGCTATGTAAGTAATCTCAAAATTAAGTCATAATGTAAGCGATTAACTGATTTGTTTAGCACGCTACAGTTAATAAAGATTTACAATTTACTTATATTTATTTTCAGAAAACATGACGATAAATCCGCCTGTTGAAGGGTGTTATTTGTTCCAAAATCAATCATTAGGAAACGAATCTATGAAATCAAAGATGGCCGACCAGTCACGTCTGGCAAGTTTCTATTCATACCCTTATCCATCTGAAGTAGGTGCATTTGTGCTGGCAGAGGCAGGCTTTCATTACGAAGGACAAAATGATGAGGTAGTGTGTCGTCAGTGTGGACTCAGGTACAGTGGATGGCAAAAGGGGAATGATCCCAAATGTATACATCTGAAGAAATCTCCCAATTGTCCATTCTTTCAAACAAGTGAATCTGAAGCTGGTATTGACGGAGACAACTCTGAGAAAGCACTGATGTCCGGTGCATGTGGTGGAGCAAACGACACGTCAGTAGAACGAGGAACTGAGGACAAGATGCAGCAACACTCAAATACCAATAAATATCCGGCTGACATAGGATTTCAGGATTCAAACCTAACAGAAGCCACCAAAGAAATACTGAAACCTACAAACGAGTTAGAATCTTCTGTTAAGATCCAAAACCAAAGTGGTGAAGATGCAGGTCAAAATAAACCAGACAATTCTATGAAGGAGGAAAATATGGCAAATGCACCGGCACAATCTCGTATCGCCAAATCAATGTATGACAAGGAAACGCAACTAGAACAACACCAGGCTGAGCACGTTTCAAGTCCAGAAGATACAGCTCCTTCAGACGAGACACAGACAGTAGAATCACGTGATCAAAGTGGCAGAGGAAACATGTATAATACAAGTCATGATTCTATTAGTCATACTAGGACCAACGAAACTTCGACTGGAACACTAGAGACAGTCTCACCGAAGTATGAGCAGTTCTCTGTACTCGCCACCCGTCTTAACTCATATAGACACTGGCCAAAGCATCTCAAACAACGTCCCGAGGACTTGGCTAAAGCTGGTCTCTTTTATGAAGGTAAGGATACTATCGGAAAACCTTGAATTGTTTACTTCAATGTAAAAATTATCGAATATATAGGTAATATCAATTCCTTCGGGAAGGATAAATCACACTGACTCCATTATTATGCATTTCTAGGTGATGAATTATGTATTCCAAACTCTATGAAGTTTAGATCTTTTGATTTCCAATATTGTTACTGATTTTCCTTTTTGTATGGACACATAGGAACAAACGACTACGTGAGATGCTTCCACTGCGCAGGCGGATTACGTGAATGGGACCCGGAAGATGATCCTTTTTATGAGCATGCGCGCTGGTTCCCTTTTTGTCCGTTCATGAAACTGATCAAGGGCGACAAGTACATAATGGGTGTCCAGTCTGGAACAATCAAACCACCTGATGTACAGGTAAATATATAGACATTAACGGTTGTACCGAGTTATAACAAAGCTGCTTTGAATAATTATATCAGCTTAAGGCAGTACAGTGCAATGCATGTCTTTACAAAGTAATTAGAAGGCAAATAAAACAATATATTTAAATGAACATGTACATAATTATATTTACGTTTAAATTAATTATATTACGAACATATATTTCTAGCAAGCTTCAGTTATAATGGCTGTTTTAGAAATAAGCAAGGACCGTGTGCAAATTAGGGGCCCTCACAGTTCATTGTTCAGGATATTGTTAAGTCCATTGCATCCTGTATATTAGAATTTGATTTATTTTGAATGATGTCTAATTTCTAGCTTGCTGTTTTCACGAACAGTTCATGAATGTTTGATAACAAACATTTTTGCAAACCTGTAGTGCATACTTGTCAAATAGTGTCTTATTACTCATTATGTTATTTTGTTTGTAGCGCGATGAGTCCAGACAAGAGATCGACATGTTTGAACATCCAGCTGTACTCAGCGTCATGGAACTGGGCTACAATAAAGCCATTCTGACAAAGGCGATTACAGCGTACAGGAAACGTCACGGTATGCATACCTTCTGTACAACTATTTATGTCAATATTGTTGTTAAATAAATGATGATTATTCTCATATGTATTTTCAATATTACGTAAATAAAATGTAATAATTTGATATTTTAACCTTAATATTTTAAAAACAATACTTTAAACATGAGACATATTACATAATTATGTGATTTTTGGAAGAAAAAAATATCTGAATGTCAATTTGAATAACACTTAACCCATATATTTCTTAAAAAGAATTGATGAATATATGTTTATTATCATTGGTTCATTTTACAGGCACGGATTTGTGTGCTGAGAAGCTTTTGCCTATCGTCTGGGAAATAGAGGAAAATGATGACATGGATGTCATCCCAGAAGACGACATTACAGAAACCAAACAGGCCGATCATAATCAAGAGGAAAGGGAATGTGAAAGTACAAGTGAAGATACTGAACTCACGAAGAAAGGTAATTAAACAATATATAGAAATTTCATAAAAAGGTACTTTAGGATTTCTCATGGAAGACTTAATGTTACGACTGTGTGAACAAATTGTAATCTACAATACTAAAAACTCTTTACGTGGTTACAGACTATTACATAGAACATCATCAATGTGAATCTGCAGTAAAATAAAGCTGGCATTCTATGATAAGCATCTGCTACCATAACCATACAGTTTACGTTTGGTAAATATCTGAACACGGTCTCGGAACGATATCCAACTATGGGACTTCATCGATGAAGCCATCTCCATTTCGATTAAATGAAAACGGGAATGTTTAGGAATTTGTAGTGATAGTTTCCTTAACTTAATGTTTTGTTTGTTTAACAGGTATTGATGAGCTTACAGAGGAAAATCAAGAACTTCGCGAACAAAAGATATGTAAGGTGTGTCTCGACGAGGAGGCTAGTATTGTGTTCCTGCCTTGTGGACATTTGGTCACGTGTCCCATGTGTGCCTCGGCCTTACGGAAGTGTCCAGTTTGTCGGACTTACATCAGAGGCACGGTCAAGGCTATCATATCGTAAGCAATTGTGCGATCGAGCAACACTCAGCTCAAAAACGTGCACAAGTGAGCATTACCTACAGCAGAATTGAACATGTGAGCAATGCGAAACACATTCATCGTCAGATCGAAATGCAGAGGATCACAGCTGACCTTGAATGTACAACGGATCATCAGGTCATCGAAAGCTACACACGTTTAACGAGATATTCTGTCGTAGATGGAACATTAACAACCAAGAAATATATTGTGTTTGGGAATTAATTAAATGATAGATATTACTGGGACCGTTGTTTAATATTTTATCATCTTATTTAAATATAAGTCATTCAGAAAAAAATGAGAGAGTAACAAAATTTCGAACTACTTGCCAAAAACATTCTTGTTTAGAGAATAATTACGATTAGTTATACCACTGACATTCATTACACTTTGGCGAAATGAAACAGTAAAGTACAGCGAACTATAGTTGTCGCGCGATATGTTTATGTTAAATATCAGTCTTGATCTTCTGTTATTAATGCTAAGAGGTATTCGATTTATTTGTTTATCAGGATTTGCTGGTTTCATCTTATATTACAGTCTTGACCTACTGGTATTTACGGTATTGGATATATCGCCCGGTGTATATGTTTTATTCTGCATTTCGTTACGGTTGTTGTTAAAGATAATTTGAGGTGTTAATATGGTTGATTTTACTCTATACAATTATGTTCTAGACGTAAAGCTATTTCTTTAATGATGTGTTCAAGCTGATGAAAACATTCTCTATTTCGTATTTTCGTGCCATATTTATTGTGGAAGATATAATTTAAAAATATTTATTTTCTATTTACCAGATATGTTTTGTATGTCTCTCGATATTAAAAAATTATAACGCCAACAAAGCTGTTAGATTTATTATAACTGCTTACCTAGGTGTACTTTGACTATGTTTTTTATCCTAACTGTTAAGAGTAACCATAGCAATACGTCCATATGTGTTTTGACGGTTTGGTTAATTTTGTAGAAACATGTGCTTTCTACTTAATCATCATTGTTAATATAGTATAATTACCATATTTATGTTAAACATTTACATATGCATTGACTATACATCAGTTTCATACTTATTTTACAATAACTGTGTTTATGTTTTATATTTACAATTTAGGTGCTGTGATGTAATTTAAAACAAAAATCGTTTTGTTTATTATGAGCGTATTTTTGTTAAATCATGTGATCTGATATAATTCAATTGTTCTGTTGGTAGTTATCGTTACCGTATATAAAACTATTTATGAAATGTGATAGTATTACAGAAATACTTAGTCCTTATGTATCTACTTTTATTTTACATTCTGAACACCTTTGTCCTGTGATATCATTATGGACTACATCTTTATATGTTATTATGTAGTACACACTAGCACGTGGTGTACATTATAAACCTATTTAGATCAGTACTTTCCACCTACAATTCATACGCTTGATTATGATAATGTTACACTATGTCAGTTGTAAGACAAAGTTTAGACTAATTCGTTAGCTTGAAGATGAAATTATTGGACTTTTATATTAGCTTAACCTCCGAAGGGACTTTCGATCAATGAATAAATATAGGATCTTACATGAGTGTCCATGTCATGTTGATGTGTTTTTTTAAATAATGAACAGTTTTAAACACAAGGAAAATAATAATGACAAAAAACCCATTTCCAATTCATTTAAAATAGCAGTAAAGTAATCATGTGGTAAAGTGAATAAAAAAGAAGTACTTGCAGTGGTGTAGGAATATGTTCCCACGGTTTAGACCAATCGCAGCACCTTTAGGTTTTATTACACGTGTGTATTACCATATTTATGACATGACCGTAACACTTATAAAATAGGTCGGTTAAGAATAATTATATTTTAAAGATATTTAATTTGCCAAAAAGCAATGAGATTAATCACTGTTGTTACACGAATGAAATCCTTTTCCCTAAATAAAGAATGCTAATAAAAAAAGTTCGTCTTGTGTTGTCCTTAAGTTTGTTAAAAAACGATCAATTTTTCACTGTTTTGTAAATCTGTGATATGGATCTAGGTTAGCTGTCTGTACATATGCTTACAAAAAGCAGAAAAAATATATCACAGCGTCCCTCCACAAGCGGATAAGATTAAAACTTAAAATCGATATGAAATCGAATAGACGCCAAAACGAAAGGACAGACAACACTTTGAACTGGGTGGGGAGACACCACAACAAAGGGAAAGCCAACTTCAGGAATTTGTTACCACAACAGGCCGAAATCAACATTTAAAGTTGATACGAATTTAAAATAACAGAAAACAGAAATCACCAAGCGAGTGAACTCCGAGGACTGTATACTTAATGATCTAAGGATGAGAAATATGTTGGGACACGTCATACAAGGGATTCATTACTGTCCTGGAATGGGGAAGTGGCATTGAATTTCCATTCAAGCTGAGATGCGTAGTTAAGTATTTCAGCAATGACGTCATATATCGTATCATGTATACCTCCCACATAGTACTGTAACAGTGTCTCACACAGTGCACTGTATATGTGTACTTATTTACTACTTCCCACATAGTAACAGTGTCTTACACAGTGTACTGTACATGCATAA